ATTGGTAGCACAGGCATAGAGGTAACTCTAAGACCAGAAGGTCCCGAAGAAACGTGCTCAACTTTTTGGCTCAGCTCTGGTACTCTCTTTGGTCCCAAGCTAATCGATACACCCCTCGAAACATAGGAAAATCCACGAACCCCTCATTTTATCTGTCAAACTTTCATAGCGAATCAAAACAAACATAATGTAGTACTAGAATGTTGACTAGAATGGGGTACGTTAATCGATTTGCTTGGGACCAATAGGCTAGTCAAGTAGTGAGCCAATTTTAAATCGTTAGTTGCCACCGGTACAGGCTACAGGTACAGGCTTAAAGCTTTTGGAAGACGACGATGACGTGTAGGCAGCTGGATCAGCAAATCGGACCGGACTATCCCATATTCTTCGGTTCAATGAATATCAGTGTCCATCCAGTTAAAGCTCCTCCCCTTTTTAGTTTTTCTCAAGTTGGTAAATCTTAGTCTTTAGCAGAAAGACGCTTAACACTTTTTTCGGCGAATTTATCATCTTGTTTCACGTCATGGTTCTTCTCTATGCCTGTTCAGTAGTCGAACTCGAACAGCAGAATTGCAACCTGAACCAAAAGCGGTGCGATGCTAGTTTTCATTGCTACACTAAACCTATGAAAAACGTCAATTTTACCTAAAAATTCAGGTGACTTCTTAAAACCAAGAATATAATAGGATTTACATGCTATACGTAAAATTCAACGACTTAGTGATGAAATTTACTGGATTTACTGGTCGAGTCCATGTGTCATGCTGGTGAAGGTTGTGTGAAATTCATATACATTTTACGTGATCTCATGGTATGAAAATGTTCTGTGCGTAACCTCGGAGTTCAAGATGGTGACAGAGGAAAGTATAGGCATTCCCCATTGTTGGAAGATTTGGGATTACCAGACAGCTCAGTTTTTAACTTTCATTGGAATTCAAAAAATTATCTTCATTTTTATTAATCCAGAAATGAAATAGCGAATGCAGGATCAGATTACTTGGGCTACTTATAATTTCAATTGGCGACCTACATATATGATTATTCCAACAAATGGGTGATTTTTTTTTCTGGCTAAAATAAATGGTAAGAATCAACTATTTACATTGAAAAAAATAGAACGATGATCAATTTTCGCTTTCCATTCTTTTATACAGAAATCAGCGATCTTAATGAAAATATCGAGCTCCCAGAAACTGAAGCCCTTTCTTAAAGTACAAAACGTGAGTCCTTATCACTGGAAATCCTTTGTATGAGTGCTCATTGCAAGACAGCCTATATTACGTGATATAGGCTGTAATGTGAACGGGGTATAAGCATAGAGGTAACTCTAAAACGCTGTCCAGACTGGAGAGTTATAACATGTTATAACGGTTGTCAAATAATTGCAACACAGAAACCACCATCAAGATAGCGCTATAACATGTTATAACTCTGTAGTCTGAACGTAGCATAAGACTAGAAGGTCCCGAAATAACGTGCTCAACTTTTTGGCTCAGCTCTGGTACTCTTTTCGGTCCCAAGCTAATCGATTCACCCCTCGAAACATAGGAAAATCCACTAACCCCTCATTTTATCTGTCAAACTTTCATAGCGAATCAAAACAAACATTGCGTAGTACTAGAATTTCGACTAGAATGGGATATGTTAATCGTTTGCTTGGGACCAATAGGCTAGTCAAGTAGTGAGCCAATTTAAAATCGTTAGTTTCGTATTGATTGTTGGTATAAGACTAGAAGGTCCGGAAGATACGAGCTCAACTTTTTGGCTCAGCTCTGGTACTCTCTTCGGTCCCAAACTTATTTTTGCACCCCTCGAAACATAGGAAAATCCACAAACCCCTAATTTGTGTCTGTCAAACTTTCATAGCGAATCAAAACAAACATAGTGTAGTACTAGAATTTTGACTAGAATGGGGTACGTTAATCGTTTTGCTTGGGACCAATAGGCTAGTCAAGTAGTGAGCCAATTTAATATCGTTAGTTTCCACCGGTTTTTATAACTCTCCAGTCTGGACAGCGTTTTAGAAGCCGAGGGGTGAAAGTCAATTGGAAGATTCCCGCAAAAGCTCAATGCAGATGTCGCCACTGCATAATGATGATAATGTTGACAGACTGCATATAAAATTCGTGAAAATTAGCATTAAATCATAATTTTCATCAAGCCTGCGTGAAATCCTTCCAATATAACATTCAAATTGAAGAAGAAAATGTTTTTACGATCAGACTGATGTGCATCTTTGACTTTTCCAGGTGAACTTTCATAAGATATATTCATTTCATTTCACGGCTCCATCAATGCTGCATGGTAAATATGATGGTGAACAGAAGTAAATTGCTCAATTACTCAAAATAAAGGTGATTTGTCATATTGTTATCACTTTGAAGACCATCTAGCACCATTTTATAGCATGGTGCGTGTTGAGTAAATCAAGTTCTGGTGCGTTTTCCGTCGAAAATTGTGAGTATCAATATGTTTGCTTAAAAAAGGCCATAATGTACATTTATTGAATATTGGCGTCCTATACAACCAATTCTCCATTACCACCAGCATGATACAACCTTTCCTAAGTAAATTCACTTAATTTCCACTTTCATCTTGGTGAAAATCGCACATATTTACCATTTTCTGAAAAATGCAGCTGCGCAGGAGGTAACCTCACCCTGTGGGTGCAAACTTGTTATGCATAATTTGCCATGAAAACATCTCCGATCCATACCGAAATAATAACAAATAGTTTTCAAACACGTTTTCTTACAAGGAAAATTATTAGTTTTTCTTTATGGACCGATTTGCCCCAAAAAGCGTCTGTTTTACTTGGTAAGTTTGGAAACTATCCTCCTTCTAGTAGTTCTCACTTCGAAATGTAGGTGGCGAAAGCTTGGAAAAGTTTCACTTCAAGACGCCAATTCTTTTAATCGCTTTCCTCTTTTGATGACCATGGCTTCACTAACCTATTTCGCACTATTTCTGCTATGCTCTTTTATCACCCAGAACAACAAACGTATCAATGAATGTGTTTGCCGTCGAGTTATTAACGAAACAGAAAGTCGATGAAGAGAATCGATCGAAACCACTTGCACCCCTGCTTCCAAGTTTCCAACTCTGGAAAGCATTTTATGTGGTCGTTGGGGGCGTGTGGTTCTGAATGTGGCGATGAGTGTGCAAAATGTTACGAAATTGCATCCTCCCTTTTCGCACACGCCCGAAGATAGGAGGCCAATGCCACATCGACATGTTTCGTCTAGAAACGATTCTCTGATGACTGTGTTGGGGAAGCAACATATGCATGTACGTAATTGGTGGTTTTGTAAGTTATTTCGACGCTTTTGGACAATGCTTGACATTTACCACCTTTCCAATAGTTTCTTGTTGTAAATCATCGCATTGCGGTGGAAATATTTCTGATCGATTGGTGATAAAATTATTGAAATTGGTCCGGGGGCAGCTGAGTTATTAACGCTCAAAATCTTTCATAATTTCGTTACATGTTCCATTTTCTATTTTCACAAAGTGTACCCCTATATTGAAATTACAGATGTAGTCCTACGTCAAAAGTTTCCGGGAAATGTTTGAATTAACTTCGGAAGGAAGCCACGAACTCTTCTGGAGGAAGTTTGAAGAAACTTTGCTTTTAGGAAGAGTCGGAAAAATTTCCGGGGAAGTTAGTCTAACATTTTTTTTTAATATTTGCTCTAGAGAAAAGTATTTTGTTAGACTTAAGCCTATAGTATACAGATCGAAGCGAAACGAAAATTGAAGCACGCGAAAAATCATGAAATTTCGCTAGTTGTGAAAAAATGTTTGTGGAACATTTTCCAGTTTCCTTTTTTTGCAGTTTACAGTTCATTCGAAACGAAATCGATCAGTTTACACCTCCGGTAAAGTGAAAATCTGACAGATACGCTCTCCCGAAACGTCAACTTTTCGCTTAGCTGCTGCTCTTTTCGCGAGCGCTGCATGCGCGAAAAAAAATAAACGTAAGCGAAAAAGATGCGATCCACAAAATTAGATTTCGCTGGATCGTATCTGTTTAAGCCTAGTATACAGATCGAAGCGAAACGAAATTTGAAGCACGCGAAAAACCATAAAATTTCGCTAACGAAAAAGGTTGTGAAAAAATGTGTGTGGAACATTTTCCAGTTTCCTTTTTTCGCAGTTTACAGTTCATGTGAAACGAAATCGATCAGTTTACACCTCCGGTGAAGTGAAAATCTGACAGATACGCTCTCCCGAAACGTCAACTTTTCGCTTAGCTGCTGCTCTTTTCGCGAGCGCTGCATGCGCGAAAAAAAAAATAAACGTAAGCGAAAAAGATGCGATCCACAAAATTAGATTTCGCTGGATCGTATCTGTTTACAGTTCAAAGCGAAGCGAAATATTTGCCAATTGCGTTTTTCGCGTAGGTGAAAAATGTAGTATTTTGTATGAGATTTTCGCTTCGCTTCGATCTCTATACAGGCCTTTAAATGAAACGGATAGTTGAAGTAGGCGTCAAGCATTAAGCATGCAACCGATTTTTTGTTTTGTAAAATATGTTCAATAAGGTGGTTTTTAAGAGGGTGGTCACATTTCCCCACAATCCCGCGTCGAAAACCATCTAAAATTTACTTAAGAAAACCTCATACAGTCACATAATCAACAATCATCCCATGCTGAGATACTTATTTGCAGTAATCATTATCATGAAACAATCTTGCATGAATATCAGTCTCCAGTGCTGCAAAATTGATTACACTATCAAACCAATTAGCCATCTCATTACAAGCGCCCGGCGCAAAACTATCTACTTATTTTATTCAATTGCCCCGAAGGCAAACCGGGAATTATGAATAGCGTGCGATTATTCGCAGCTGACCTGTGCCCTTTCGCCAGACCTGCAGACACACCTTCTGCTAACATTAATGTCCCCAGCTGGCACGTGTATCAAAGGTAGGCACAAGTATTACCGGTTGTTGTTCGGCATCCATCGATTGCAACTAGGTATAGTTTCCTATGCAAAACGGTTAATACATATCTTTATTCTCTCTAATCATATGCCCTCCCCCAACACATACACTCACAGATAGTAGCTTCTCCTAATCGTACTTTAGCGTGAGTAAATCGGCCAGCTTCCCGGCGAGAATATTCTCCAGATGCGATCCATCCCAGTAGCACCGGCCGCACCCATCACAAATATAGAACACATCCACATTGGCAATCACAGCATCGCTTACGTAACCGATTTCGATCGGAACACCGGCATCCGTTCGGCCATCGCTTCGATGGCGCTCGCCGAGGGCATCCAAGATCCAGCTGCGATCGAGTTTCATCCGATTACCGCCACCGTACTCCTCTTCCTCCGGGCTGAGCGGATCCCTCCGGTGGATTTCCCGGAAATTGGTCGGCATGGAGTTTTGGTTCTTCAACACGTAGATATCCTCGGGTGTCGCCGATAGGAAACGACCACAATTGCACAGCTGACACCGACTGAAGATGTTCTCCTGGCGGATGACGACCTTGTAGTACCGGAGAACCTCCAGCAGTTGATCCTCGACGCGATCGTTGCCGATGTTGTAGCAGTGACCCGGGGGAAGGTATTCACAGAACTTCCGGAATATAAGAGGCATATATGTTAGCGGTGATGTGTATGGGACTTCATTTTGAGTGAAAGATACCTTGACAAAATTGGCTCCCCTGGTCAGGACGTATCGGCCTTCCTGGAGCGCCACGAAGACACAGCGATCGCCTTTCTCATTCCGAATTGCCACCGTATCGATCCCGAACCGTCGCAGCATCTTGGCCAGCCCTTCCAGCATCCGATCGCACACGAAACGTACCTCCGAGGCTCTAAAAGAAATCGCGAATATGATCCAAGCTTTAATCGATCGATCGACTTGTGAAACGACTATAGTAATCACTCGTCTGCGGTCCCCAGCTATGTCGGTATGTATCGAAATGAGAAGCATCTTGGGATCATGAGATGAAAACAGTTTTAATCGAATAAGAGAAATAGGTAGTAGTAGCAGTTCAGGTTACAATTCACATATTTGTACGTATAACTGGGTTACTGTGTCAGTTTCGTTCCAACTTACAGTACGGATTTAAGGTTTGGACCGTCAGGTTGCTGTTGTTCGCGGGAGCCAACACCTTTGGATTTGTTTCGGTTCTGCTGATGATGAGGATGATGATTCTGATAGCCTCGGGAAGAATTTCCTCCGCCCCCGTCGCTGTTGTACGTCTGTCGCTTGTTGTACTTATCACGATGTCCTGCGCCGCTGCGTCGCGAACTGGATGATCCATCTTGCTTTCCGGACCGCTTGGTGCCACCCTCGTGCGACGCCGATCGAACGTCATTCAGCAGCGCATTCAGGATCTCGTTTGGATCAAGCTGAATCATCGTCAGTTGCTTCTCGATGGCTTCATAAATTTCCAGCAAGCAGAACGCATCCAGAGCAGCGTACCGAAGCTGTTCCTTCCGCAGTGGGCGCTGGGCCCAATTCGAGAATTGGTTAGATTTGTCCAGTTTCTTACCCAGACACAGCTTGACCAAGTTGGCAAGATTTTGGTTCAGAGATTCCTCTGGAATTGAGGATATTTGTAAGGATTGTTGTTTGATGTTGATGGGCACAAACTTACCATGGAAAGGAAACCGGAAGCTATCGTACCGTTCAACGTGTCGCCACAGAAGCTGCAGGTCCAGTATAGCAGATGTGGTCTGCGAACTGTACATCACATTAAAAGCAGGCAGTGCCTTTTGGAACATGGAAATATCGGTGGAAGGAGCGAATGACAGCTTCAGAATATCGTCTCGATTGAACACATTCTTCGCCAAGGAAGCCCAGTCCAGGCCTTCCAGCGGGCAGACCATCACGTCGATCATGTACACGTCGTCCCACGTGGCCAGTTGAATCAGAGAAACTTCATTAGCACCACCGAAGGTGGGCTTCCACTCCGAATCGAATGCAATCATCGACTGGCGAGTAAGGTCCGACAGCATGGCGTAGAACTTATCCTTCGTGTCTACCAGATGTACATGGGATTCGTCCAACCGAAGAGCGTGCGCTGGCTCACTGTGCGGAGCATCCCACTGTTCATCCTCAAAATCTTGACGAGTCTTAGGCTTGGTGTCGTCTCTAAAATAAAAAATGGTAAATTTCAACCGACAGAGATCTGAAGCCAGCACTCACTGTTCGATGATGTAGTCCTGCACCAGTAGAGGAAGTTCATTCAGCTTCAGCTGGAAATGATGGGCCCACTTGGCCGCTTCCGGCTGATCGTTGAAGTTCGAACAAAGACAAACCAGTTCCAGCTGTAATTCTCGATCGGTCTCCGAAACAGTGTCCCGCACCATCTCGTCCCAGGAGTCTTTGTCTAAGAAGGAAGTTCCCAAAATCATCAACTACAATCACCCCCAACTACACTCCAACGATACTTACTCAAACTTTTCTCGTAATAGCGCTTGTGAACCAGAAACTGCAGGGCTCCAAAATTCTTCATTTTATACACGTTCGGTGTGAACTGCTTCGGGATGTTATAGTTCTTGGCCAATCGTTGCACCAACTTGCTCAACGGTTTCTGGTGTAACTTGCTGTAGTATACATCGGTAACGTTGTGTTCTCTAAATAAAAACCATCATTTACCGACCATTCTACCATCTGATAAAGCTCTTATACTCACGAAATATATCTCGAGCAATGGTTCTCCACCGATTGTTTCTTATCGAAGAACGAATCCAGCAGTTGCACAACGGGTCTCTGCAGTCGTTCAGCTTTGTTCAGATAGTCCTCAGCGATCGAAATCTTGTCCTGCAGAAACAGTGGCATCACAAAGTCATGCTCGTCAAATTCGTCAAACAGCTCCAGATCGACCGCAATCTGGCCGGCTTCTTTGTACTGCTTTCGGTCCAGGAACTCCCGCACCTTGGCAATAAACAACTCCCGACAACGCAACAACTCAAAAGTATCCACCACCATACGAAACAACACGCAGTGGCCCTGTTTGGCTACGAAATTGAACGCCACCATTCGAAGGTTATCGTCCACCAGCTGGTCCGCTTCCAAACTATACTGCTTCTTGAAATTGCTCATCTCCTCCAACACTACAATCAAACAGCATCAATCAACCATCTCCATCCGTCGAAAAAAAAATGTGAAACCACTCACCCGTGTACGCCAGCGAATTGCTCTTCGGCGAATTATGATCCGGACAGTTGGCGAACAACTTCAACGCCCACTCGAAAGGATTGCGCGTGTTCAGGTAGAACATCTGCAGCCGTTGCGAAATCAGCGGACCCTTTTTGAATGTCTTGAAACTCTCCCGGAACCCCTCGAACCAGGTGGCAATGTTCTCGTCCAGCTCGATGTCGAAGTCCCGCTCGTCAATACCGGCGTGCCACCCAATGTGCGGCACAATCTTGATCCGTTCGTCCTCGAAGCACCTACCACCTACTTCTCCGCTTCCGCCGGAAGCCACTGAAGTGTTTGACATCGACATCATCAGCATCTCGTCTTCCGTGTTGTCATCCTGCCTCCGAACAAAACTCCCCGATAAAACATTTTTTTTTTTCATCCGACAAACCAAAAATAATACTCACGCTATCGTATTCGGCTGGCACGAAACGAGGCTGGTTCTGTAGAGGGGGATTAGAATCGCTCATGATTCATTCGAGTGGGCGACGCAAGCAAGTTGAAGAGAGCGATGGAAATCCGAAAATAAAAATCAAACAATCCGACGCTTGCTGTTGTTTAGCATTCGATCGACATACTATTATTATAAATATACAGAAGATCAATTGGCCTGGAAGAGGTTTTTCGAAAAATGACTCGGAAAAGGTACGCGACTGCAGCGGAAAACGGGAAATTTTTCACGGGAAAATCAGATGTTTTGGGGGAGTAACTTTTGACAGATGCAGTAGTAAACAGCTTTCGTGCTGGTGTGATATAAACTTCAACGTGGGCACTGTCGCGGGGGAATAGGCTGTTGCAGTGTGAAAGTATAGTCTTTTTCGAGGCAAGTTATGCTGGACCGCTGGACGTCATGATAAGTTGAGCACAGTTTTAATTACCGGTTGAAATCAAACCGAGTTCGGTAATATTTTCTAAGTGTGTACATATGTATACGTGCGTGCTGAGTTTGTTTGCTTCGGTGAACGGAGAAGATGATTCTGATTGTTTCCTCGAACAAGATGATTCAAATTAATTTTTATTAATTAAATACAGATACATAGCTGAATCCAGAGTCAAGTAACGAGTTCAAACCACGAGAAGATGTTCCGGACGGTTCTGCAGGGCATGCTTGGCATGCACAGTTGTACACACCAACTGCTCAGGGCCCATGCATTAATTATGTCACGCTAAATCGAGGAGAAATTTACCCCCCCCCCCCCCTATCGTGACGTTTTTCCTATACCTAATGCATTGCTTGTCACAAAATCTTAGACCCCCCCCCCCCCCCCCCTAGAGCATGACATAATATATGCATCAACCCTGATTTGTTAATAATTTTTCGCTCAGTTGTTGAAATTTGTTTAAAGTAATTGATAGATTACGATCATAGCTTACTACAGCAATGAATTTTTACACTTTATGTCCGAGATGTGCAGCGAGCATTTCTCACTTGGTTTTTACAACACAAAAACAATATTACAGTTTATTACTAGAATGGATCACATCATTCGAGCAGTTTGAAATGACGTTTCCTACCACTCGAACTTTAACGTGGAACAATATTATAATATTTTTTTTCTTGTACAACCTAGAGAAAATACGGTCCTATTTGTAATATGCTTGAAAAATCTGGAATTCATTGTTTCATTTCCGTAAAATCTCTGGTAGAAGGTCGTTCCAAAACTGCTCGACAATATGATAAATTAAAATCTACTTTTTCGTACACTTATTACAAGCTTAACCTTTTTTCTATCTTTCGGTTGTAGCCGATAAACTTGCAGAATATTTAGCCAGCCTTTCTGCCATCAGTGGGTCAACTTTTCATCAGACGCAATGCTACCTCCTTAACGTCGTTAGATAGAGTTCCCCTTCCACAAGACGTCTCCTCTCTACCGATCAACCAACCTTTCTCCTTGTTGGAGTTAAGCTTTGCCCTTGCGAACAGTAATGGTAAATCTGCTGGCCCTGACGAAATTGGTTACCCATTGCTGAAACACCTACCACACACCTCTATCTGGTTCACATTTGACAGAAAAGTGGTTCATTTTCACCCCCGTATTAGCATAGAGGTAACTCTAAGACCACTGGGTCCCGAAGAAAATCATTATTATTTTTGGCTCACTCAGTACCAGAACAACGGTCCCAAGCAGTCCCAAGCTATTTCACTCACCCCTGCATGTTCTGCATGAATCCACACACCCCTGATGTTATCTGTCAAACTTTCATAGCGAATCAAAACAAACATAGTGTAGTAATAGAATTTCAACTAGAATAGGGTACGTTAATCGTTTGCTTGGGACCAATAGGCTACTAAAGTGGTGAGCCAATTTAAAATCGTTAGTTTCGTATTGATTGTTGGTATTAGGTCGTATGAATAAAATCGTTTACTTTACTTTTCCCGTAAGAAAAGCACAGGAAAGTAAAGTAAACTCTTTTTATTCATACGACCCATTGTCACCTCTTCTCTTAGGGACCAACCTACAATCGCTGCATAAGAATATATAGTATCTGCACAGACAAACAGACATAACACATTGAATATTTCTCACTGTAAAACATCGTAGCTAAAACATTACTGCCGTCTGTTGAGTACACTGTGATGGGCACTTCGCTGGATAGATGGCGGTAGTGTGTAAACGTCAAACGCAAGGGAATTGACTATGCGTGCAACAGTTGGTGGTACTACCAACTATGATACTTTTAAATAAACCGTTAAATGTTTGTTCGATGAACAACTTGTGTTATGTCTGTTTGTCTGTGGTATCTGGTTTGCTACCATCCACGCCGGCGTCGTCAGCGTGTGTCGAAGCTGGAGTGTTACCTTTCCATTACATCATGGCCATAACCACCTGCTCGAGAGCTTTGAGCTTCATGGAAAAGACATATGGAGATGAGGAGGGAGTGTTCCTCCTAAGGGAGGCTAACAAACTCCTTCAGAAAATGGCGCATCAGGAACTCCCACCGGTAGCTGAATTAGACCGGATCGGAGGCTAAGGATGGGACTCTTCCAAACCGAAGGTCAGCTGGTATTTTCAACGTCGGAGAAAGTAAGGCTGGAGCTATAAGTACTTTCAATCGTATGACTGCGACGACGTTAGCTGGATATGATTTAATATACACCGATGGTTCCAAGGCCAATGGCAGAGTAGGTGTTGGTGTGTCAGGAAGAGATCTTGTGATACACCAGCGGCTACCAAATATGTGCTCAGTCTTCTCGGCTGAGGCCATAGCTATTCATCAAGCAGCGACCAATACAAAGGCAACTTATACTGCCATATTATCAGACTCCGCGAGTGTCCTTAAAGCTCTTGAAACGGACCGTATACGTCACCCATGGGTACAAATGATCCGGGCGACAGTGAAACCTAACACTCTTTTCGTTTGGATTCCTGGACACTGCGGCATCCCGGGCAATGAAAGCACAGAAAAGCTTGCGGCCTGGATGAGGTCGAGATTCGCAGCTACTTACCACACAGATACCCTTTTAAGTGCTTTTAAGATGCCAAAACCTGGGTTAAAAACATAATTTCGGTAGCTTGGGCAGTAGCATGGCAACAAGAGAGAGAGACCTTTTTCTTCGTAAGGTCAAAGGTGGAATGACCAAATCAATAGAAAAGATCAACGAATCCTATCAAGGTTGCGAACCGGCCACACACGAATTAGTCACTTCCAGTCGGGACGATACGATCAAAGCCTATGCGATTTTTGTGGGATTTGACAGTCTGTCGAACACATTATTGCTGTTTGCTGTTATACGGACTAAAAACTGGTATAAGAGACATTGTTGCTAACGACCCTTCAACAGAAACAGCTTTGCTCTGTTTCCTTAAAGACACAAAACTGCACGAACGAATTTAGCTGACATGCGCCACTACAGGACTACGATTAAGCTTTCTTGATTAACAACTTTACTGACTTGATGATGAACAACGCAACTAAACCGAACATTTCAATTTATGGAACTTTATAAAATAATTGTTACGAAAACTATGTAATATGCTTTGCCAAGGGGGTCTCCTTCGATGCCTCTTCTGTTAAATAAAGAGACGAACCAGACTAAAGGTTGAAAGTCTCTGTAATAAAGACAAAAAAAATATTCTATCTACTGCTTCAAACAGAACTATGTTTTGTCAATTGTGTGCAAAGTTATCTGCAAATGAGCAGTTCGTGACCAAAACTGTGTATGCCAAGTGTATGTCTTGGAAAACAAATATCCAGAGATGTGTTTAGAGACCTATGAACACCTTTTTCTTTGAAATAATTCCTGAGTAACGTGGTATCACAGACAAACAGACATAACACATTGAATATTTCTCACTGTAAAACATCGTCGCTAAAACATTACCGCCATCAGTTGAGTACACTGTGGTGGGCACTACGCTGAAAGGATGGCGGTAGTGTGTAAACGTCAAACGCAAGGGAATTGACTATGCGCGCACACACAGGTGACGGTACTACCATAGAGGTAACTCTAAGACTAGACGGTCCCGAAGAAACGTGCTCAACTTTTTGGCTCAGCTCTGGTACTCTCTTCGGTCCCAAGCTTATCGATTCATCCCTCGAAACATAGGAAAATCCACTAACCCCTCATTGTATCTGTCAAACTTTCTTTCATAGCGAATCAAAACAAACATTGTGTAGTACTGGAATTTCGGCTAGAATGGGATACGTTAATCGTTTGCTTGGGACCAATAGGCTAGTCAAGTAGTGAGCCAATTTAAAATCGATAGTTTTGTATTGATTGTTGGTTCGACGTGGTTCGACTGTGTCATCATGGACGACGAAACTTATGTGAAGGCGGATTTCAAGCAGCTTCCGGGACAGAAGTGTTATATGGTTTTATCTAAAGAGCCTGAATTTATATATTTATAAATTCAGGCTCTTTAGTTTTATCGCGTCAGGAAAAGGGAAGGTGGCTGAAATTTTCAAAACCATCAAACTATCGAAGTTCCCGAAAAAAAATATCTCGTCTGGCAGGCCATATGCACGTGTTGTCTAAAAAGCGGCATTTTCATTCATACTACGGGAACCATCAATCGTTCAGGAGTCATCGACAGTCTGACACATCATCAAATTTCCTTCATTCAAAAGTATATTCTCGAACATACAGATATACAGTTTTTCTGCTTTTGATGTTATTCTCAGTCATAAGGTGATACTCTAAGGAAGCCTTAGCGTGAAACTTTAAAGGCACAAATGTCAGCTTCCACAAAACATACAAATTTGAAATTGCTACTCCTTGTTTGCTGTGCTACTACAAACAGAGAGTAGCAATTTCAAATTTGCATGTTTTGTGGAAGCTGACATTTGTGCCTTTGAAGTTTCACGCTAAGGCTTCCTTAGAGTATCACCTTTTAAAGTTTCATGCTAAGGCTTCCTTAGAGGTACCTGTAAACTCTCGTCATAACTGTAGCAGCTACATTGTTGTGTGTGTGTGTATTCCCTCTAACCCCCACTGGCCGGCAGTGTTATTATGGAAGAACTCTCTCTACAATGTCGCATTTATGGTCATTGTAGACAGCTTTAGTCCGGGAGTTAGAAGGTGATAGCTCTATTGCAGATCCAGTAACCCATTTCAGAATGTCTGGAGAGTCACGCCCATTCCGAGGTTACTTTCACTCACAATAAGCCCGCATGTATGCATCACCGTTATCAAATGGATATTGGTTATACAGTGGGGGAAATTCGTTTAAACGCAATGTCATTTTTGCGTTTATTTTCAACACAAAAGATCGAGACAAAAAATCAAATATAGTTTGTCATAGCCCATCAGAAGTCTCGTATTTGAGAACACAATTTGAACGGAAGTTCATTGTGGTCTCTGAAAAAATCCAATAAAGGTGATTTTAGAGGGGAAATTCGTTTAAACGCACACTAACGTAAAGCCGCATTGAGCGTACCTATGCTCCTGTTATCTTGCGCATCTGTCATATTTACACTGTATAGCCCTCGTTCGCCATTAACACGAGTTTAAATTTGCGTTGCGCGGTAGTTGTTGCTTGTTTTCAGCAAAATGGGTAAAGGAAAGTATTTAAGCCAGTCGGAGCAAATACTGGTTCGAGAACTCAAAAGTCGCGGTGAGAGCAATCGCAAAATTGCACGTGTGATCCACAGATTGGAAGCAGCAATCAGGAACCTGCTGAAAAAAGGCAAGACGTATGGCGTAAAAAAGAAAACAAAGGGAAATTCGAAGATCACCAACCGTGTCCGAAACCAAATCATACAAATGGGAGACTCTGGAAACTTCTCTGCTGCGCAAATCAAGCAAGAAATGGAGCTTTCCATTTCTAAGAGGCGTGTACGGCAGATTCTACATGGAAGTGGCCACTTAAAGTACACCAAAAAAGCAAAAAAACCCAATCTTCAACCGGCCCACATTAGCGCCAGATTGAATTTCGCTAAAAAATACATGTCTTGGACTACGGAATGGGACAATGTTATTTTCTCTGACGAGAAGAAATTCAATTTGGACGGCCCAGACTGCACCGCATATTATTGGCACGATTTGAGGAAATCTCCGCAGGTTAAGTTGAGCAGGAACTTTGGAGGTGGTACTCTAATGTGTTGGGCCGCTTTTTCGATCCATGGAAAGACCCCTATTGCCAGCATTTCAACCAGGATGAATTCGGGAAAGTACTTGGAGCTTCTGGAAGATGTTTTGATCCCGTTTACTGAAGACGTTATGCCGGAAAATTTCGTATTTCAACAGGATAATGCAGCAATTCATGTCAGCAAGCAATCTTTGAAATGGTTTTCTGAACGAGACATCAGTCTTTTGGATTGGCCAGCTCGTAGTCCGGATCTAAATCCTATCGAGAACTTGTGGGGCATCCTGGCACGACAGGTTTACAAAGGCGGAAGGCAGTTTAAAACAGTTCGTGAACTTGAGTCAGCCGTAAGAGAAGCCTGGAGCTTGATACCTGATACAACTCTGCAGAAGCTGGTGAAATCAATGCCGAACAGAATTTTCGAAACTATTCAGAAAAACGGAAAGCAAACGAAGTATTAACTATTGTTTATTGTTGATTTTTGAACTGTGAACTCGATTTGATTAATAAAACTAAAAGTGCGTTTAAACGAATTTCCCCCCCAAAATCACCTTTTTTGGGATTTTTTCAAAAGTCATTATGAACTTCCAATCAAATTGTGTTCTCAAATACGAGACTTCTGATGGGCTATGACAAACTATATTTGATTTTTTGTCTCGATCTTTTGTGTTGAAAATAAACGCAAAAATGACATTGCGTTTAAACGAATTTCCCCCACTGTATATACACACTCCAGGTTCGAAAATATTTTTTTCAAACCTGGCATGTATTTAGTTTAATTTTGATATTTTTTTTAAATAATTGGAAAGCTCTCACCATATTCTGCTCTTCCGCCGTCGTCAATTGCTTATTTTGGAATCCCTTGGACATTTTCTCTAACGCTTCGTATTTCATTCCGTGCTTCCTTCACCAGCAATTTCCTTCCGTAGATCGTCCGGCTTCCGGATCATTATGCACTTGTAACTAAACCCAAATGGACACGATTCAACAGCGCGTACATTAGAAAATTCAGCGGAGATCTGCTTTTTCGCAACATTTCACGGCGGCGGCGAAGGAAGAAGAAAAAACCCGGTTTGTTCACTCGCGGTAATCTTATAAACTCTTTCAATAATTTTTTTTTTAAATAACCAAACACAGCACTAATAAACACACGCGAAAATATTGAAAAAGCTTTCTGGTGTCCAAAATGCACCAGCTAAAGGACTTATTGCACTAATGTCGTTTTCGTTTTTGCGGTGTAGCACTAGTGTAGTGTAAGCAGGAATAAGCGCGAGTCTTTGACAGCTCAACAGCATTTGCTTGTAAACAAAGGTGCATCCTATATCTACACCCTAAAATATTTCGGTGTACGGCAGTGTAGCACCGGTGTAGCTACACCGCAAAAACGAAAACGACATAAATTTTCAATAAACTTCTCAGAAAATAAAGCAGCAGCAAATTCAAAACACGTCAGGTTTCAATGCACGGCCTACCTCGATCATAACTGTAGCAGCTACATTGTTACTTTGATACTTCTTTTGACAAAACACATGAATGGAACGTGTGGATTTTGAGTGTATTTTGAGTGCTCCATTTTCCAAAAATACACAACGGAAGACTGGTCATCAACGGTGAAGAAGGGATGCGTGATTTTTCCGTCACATCGAATCACGGTACTGTATAGGGATTTCTCAAGCTGAAATAAAACAACAACGTTCTATTGTTTGGCGACTGAGACTGCTTTTATTCAGTGAATTGTGTGTTTTAAAAATATAATACATTATAGAGATGTTATTGTTGTTTGGAGCCTTTTAATCTACATAAAATATATGTAAATAGTTGAATTTTTGTTTTTGCTTTAAATTGTCAGTGTTCTTACTCGCTAGGGGCAAATATATAAATTAGTGGGGGAGTATTATCTACTTGCTTTCTGTCCGTCAGCTTTGCATCAGTTTTTTCTTCTTCTTGTTTTTCAACTGCCTATCATAGGCAGTTTGCATACATACTCACTAGTCTGTGTAGTTACGGAAAATAATCTTTTGCTTTTTAAATGCCACAAGGAAAAAATTGTTCAACAATATAATTTAAAGATTACATACTCCACAATCCTACGTGTTTAGGCGTCCATCAATGGACGCGTGTGTTTGTGTGTGCATGCACACTTAAGTATCCAATTTGTCTTACTTTTATCGTGCTTGCATGCACATTAAATACATACAGAGTTATGACGAGAGAATGGGGGGGGGGACACGACAACTAAATGTATTCATCAGTCCTGTTTTGTTCTGTGTATTTTTGGGTTAACGAGTATAGAAAGAGGGAGATTATCTTGATCCAGATACTTCAAATCCAAACAGCCAACAAGAGAATCATGTTGAAGAGTAGTCACGGTGGGAAACTTGGATCCTACGGGGAAAGAAAGATCAATATTAACGGAGGTAAACATTGAGTGAGATAATACCAATCAAGGAGAAGCCGCAGGAAACTTTCGTCGGAAACCAAAATAGGAACTACTGAGTTGATGTGTTTAAAATGTGTTTTATTCGTACTTTCGCCTGCGGAAATTGTATGAGGTACAGGAAAATGTAATACTGCATTTTGTTCCTATGCAACTGTTTAGTAACTTTCACAATGCAGTAGTTTCACATGAAAATGAACATTACGTCTATTTGTTTGTAGCTGTGTTTATCATCGTTCATTTTATTCGAAAACTGAAAAATGACATCAAATTAATCTCTAAAGTGACTTATGCAAATCCTCAATGTTTTGTTGTACTAGGTATTCAAATATAAAAAAATGAGACTTAAGTAATATACTGGTTCTATGTGTGAAAGGTGCCTTATTACTGGAAAAAGTACCGTAAACATGAGGTGACATTGATGGAAATGGGACATTCTCCTCGGTTGGCATCATCATTCTCAGCAGGTGTGAAACCAATATTTACCCTGGAAGGTGTACGACTGTTGCTGCCTTCCCTCTTCTCCAGTGTGGACGGGATGTCCCGTGTGTGTATTCAGTGTGTGTAGCGGAAGAATTTTATCTCTCTACATGTTCAGTTCTCTCACACGCTCCACCTATGCTCTCTCTCATTCACTCGCTGTCTTCTTGGATCTCGAATAGGAATTATTACGGGGGCTTATCTCGCTAGTATTTAAAGGGTTGTTTTGGAGGGGGCGCTAAACTACTAGTCTATAGTAATTAAAAGGGAAAGGACGCTGTGTCCACTGTCTGCAGCATCTAGTACGGCGTATGCCTTGGCTGGCGGTTGCCACCGCCTCCACCTCGCTGCTTACCGCCCTGATATCCGCCGCCACCGCCGCCTCCACCACCACCGCCGGAGCCTATTTATGTTTTGGAACATTTTCAGGAGAAGAAAAAGAAGGAATAACAGAGCGAAGAGCATTAGTATTGCGTTCGAAGAGCGTCGAACAGCACAGGGGTAAACACTAGGGAACGAATTCTGATGGTGCAACTATTCTAAATTGGTACGAACATTCTGAAATGACGAACACACACAACGGCATACTTCATTTCAGCATGAACTTACACAGCAAACGGTTCAGTTGAGTTCTGTTATTAAATTTGGTTCGATAGAAGGACGATTTCAAAACTATTTTCGTGTAATTCACCAGAAGGAACACTTTGGGCACGAGAATGGGCCGATGTATCTTTTAGATAGTAGGATACACTATTATTGCTCACTTCTGGACAGTGTCAACATTCTAATTTTACAGCATATTAGTCGAAATCAACTTAGAATAAAGTTTAAAAATCGAAGATGACATAGCTGAAACAAGTCACCAATGAATTAATAAATTAAGAAGGTTGGGGGGGCCAAATAGTCAAAACATCCAATCAATGTTGGTCGCAGCGACGGATCCCAGCTATGCCTCGTATATAATTCGGAATAAATTTTGAAAACATGGTATGTATGCAGGTAGTAAGGTGAGTAACAGAACAGCCGGAATGGGGGCAAAATGCAGGCAAATAGAGAATAAAAAAAAGCACAAGCACAAACGCAAAGAGCTACTACATAAGATTGCTGTATAGTCCAACTACCTTTACCCCCGCGAGGACCACCAAGTCGACCACCGCCGTTGCCGTAACCGTCGTTGTAGCCTCCGTAGTAGTCGTCTGGCGAACAGTAGGTACATTAAATAAAATAAAAACGGAGGAAGGAAGCGAGAAATGTTCAAGTTTGTTTTGTTGTTGCTTGCAGTTTGAATTGATGTGTTTTGGGGGGGGGGGGGGGGGGGGGGTATATTTGGAGAATTTAGGTGTGGAATGTTGATTTCAAAATAGGGAAAAATAATGCTGGTCATCTACGAAATTGACTAGAACAGAAAATCCACCATGGAAAAACAGATAAAGCGTAGGGGCCGCGGCTAGGAGGAGCTTGTGCTATAAGTTATTTCTAGATTAATAGATACTACGAACAAGACTGAACACTCGTGAGTTCTCAGGGGTCTGGGGTGGAGACGAATCTAGTGCGACATCAACTGTAGGGTAGAATTGGCTAACAAGTAGTTTGACTTACAAAGTCACATGATCCACCAATCTTTAAATTGGGCTTTATGGGATAGGGATCTGATAAATTTAGTCCGTCAATGTTTACCTAATTTATGATAACATGATAGAAAGAAATTTTGAAATATAGGGGAAATGCAGGTAATGTCGGCCTAAGTGTCCCTAATTTGGGCCCATACATAAATTCAGCAAATGACTAAATTTTCAATAGCAACCAAAAATATCCATTAGTAATGTCCCAATAACGCGTTCATCTAGATAAAATTGATGAATAGCAGATTTTTAGCGATGGGCCCAATCTTAGATACATAGGCCAACATTAGAGACATTTCCCCTATTATCGGAGTGTTTTAGAACCTCACTGGAAGAGACTATGAAGCCTCGTCTTCAGGTCGATATCGTGCTGTAGAACTTTATAGAACCAAGGACGGAGAAAAAAAAATCGAATTTGAGAAATTGCCACATTGGGGAAGTATAGTGAGCTTCCTGTGCTTCGAAAAAAAAAATTAATTGGTTAATAACAGTGGCGTTTCCTTAACCTCAATTTACCTGTGCACCAACTATTAAAACATACAATTTTCAAAGCAATGGATAGATATCGAGTAAACTAGAAGATTAAGTGTATTTTTCAACCGATTCGAGTATGAATATGGCATTAAATCTGGTGTTGAAAGTTGGTACACAGGTAAAAAGTGAGGTTACGGGACGCCACATTCGACCAAATATTGCTCTAACATTAGTATAATTTCTACAAATTCGAGCAGATTTTAATACAGTCTATGAGTAACCGTGCTTTTAGAAAGATTGAGCAAACGGAACTTAAATTGGAAATAGATTCTACGGCCGTGTGTATTTTAAGAACCGCTCCTTTTTCATTTATAGATGATTCAAATATAGTAATTCTACATGATGACCAGTAAGTAAATCCCGATTAGCCATTTCCCCGTTTGTCTTCCCTGATTTTTAGGAATTTTCCCGGTTGTGGGAATGCAATTGAGTCGAAGGGATCACCAGGTTAAATGGGTCATTACGAAGACAGCAGCATTCTCTTCCTGGATTTTGAATGCATTTCTGCGGTCGAAGTCTTCAAAATTTGATATCTTTAATTTTGTCGAATTTTGTGGAACCCCTTATGATGAGTTTTTGAGTTATGTTCTTTTAGTGGTGCTGGGTACTTGGCACTGAGGAAATCTACCAAGTAGAAAGCAATTAACCACTTCATTCGAGCAGTTGAAATGACGTTTACTACCACTCGAACTTTGAAATAAAACATTATTCTGAGGCCGTTCGCAATGCTGAGTTTCAAAATTGTTTTAAACGACTTGACAATTCTATAATTTGAAACTGTCAAAAATAAAACTGCAACACGATCAGCGCAACGCACAGTTCTAAAAGATGTTTGTAATCACCAAGTTCCATAAAATTTACTGTTCTCTATGAAGTTCATAGAGTTTTTTTGTGAAGCTCTTCGAAACATCTTTAAATACATACAGAAATTTGAAACAGAGTTCCATTCGTGTTTCAAACTCGCTCAGAAATAAAACAGAATAGTCGAGCAGTTGCAAATCTGGTGCAAAATAGTGCTCGAATAATGAAACTGCAACTCAGCATTGCGAGAGGTGCGTTTCTGTTCTAGTTTCAAATTGAAACAGTCCTTATAAAATACAACAGCATTGCGAACGGCCTGAGGATTTTTTTTAGAACCACGAGAAAGAAAAGTAGCCAACATCAGTGAGTTTCATAAAAAAAAATAGCACTTAGTTGGTCGAGTTTTGTGAAATCGCTGGTAGAAAGTCACGCCAAAACTGCTTGACAAAGTGGTAAATTCTCGATGAACATTTCAATAGGTCCTACACCTGCTTTGATCGATTATCTTCATCGACTTTCTCTTTTGAGAACCACTGATATGCAAACAGATTTCGCACTATTTTTACCACAGTTCGATAAAAAAAAAGGTTCTTATCTAGCGTCAAAAACGTCAAATCAAGACCAACTCCATTATGTGAACAAACCTTGTAAGGCCATTTTGTCCTGAACCGAATTCCGCCAACGCAAACCAACAAAATGAACAGGTAAGGGAGATTCTCCTCTACCCGATTGTGTTTTAGGTTTGTGAATGTAAGTTTCGGTTCGCGAGAAAATGGCCTTTCAAGGGTTGTTTACAAAATGGAGTTGAGGCCTTTTCAATTATTGGTCTTGAAATACAACAGGGAAAGGTTTTGCAACTGAATTATTAACGAAAGAGAAAGTCGATGAAGAGAATCGATCAATGCAGATAAAACCTTTTGAAATGTTTATCTAGAATTATAACGGAATTAAAAGACAATTCTAGAGCCACAATTGAAATAGACGGAACAACCAACCGTAAACAATGACTTTAAACGCAAATTTCCTGAGAATAAATACACATCCACGAGATCTAACACCAGCATCTGATAGAGCAAACTTCCTTTATCGAATGGCATTGTTAGGTTTGCGTGGGTGTATTTTGATTCTCGAGAAATTTGCGCCTAAAGCTATTGGCCCTTATTAAGGGTGTCACTTCACGGTGAAAAGGAAGTGAAGAGACAAATTGTCTTTCACGGTGAAGAGATTTCCGGGCAAATCAACTGAAAATCACTTCACTTCGTATTCACGTTTAAAAAAAAAAAAAATGGACACCCGTAATAGGGACCATTATTTACGATTGCCGCCTATTTCAATTGTTGGTCTAGAAATAACTCAACCCTCTTCTCAAAGCTCTTCTTCATAATTTGTTAACGTTTTAACTACCTTGAATATTTGCTGATATATACAGTGGTGGCCTTTTAATTAGCACAATAGGCCGATTGGCATACAAACTAGCCAACTTTGGCATGTTGCAACTATGTTTTACTATGCTGAAATTTTGACACAGAACAACAATGCTGAATTTTGCGTGTACGAAATATCAAATTATTGGAAGTGCTTGCCGGAAATTGACTCGCTGGTTGAGAAAATGGTCAACTAATTATAGCGCATTTATAGTTCAAAATTTCCGAAGTGCTATAGTTTTGAAATTTTCAACCAATTGCCAATAAACGACGGCGTGCTTAAGAAAGTTATTTACGATATAGTCAAAAATTTCCGAAATAATAGACTTCGGAAGTTTTGAATTATAAGTGTGCTAATTAGTTGACCATTCAACTAGCCCGTCTAGGCCCACCACTGTACATTTTATCGGAATTAATAGTATGTTCGACCAATTTTGGGACGACCTTCTACTTCTAATGCCAGCGATTTTAAGAAAATGAATAATTCCAGATTTTCCAGCTTAGCAAAAACAAGACAGAATGTTAGTGGAATGTTCTTAAGAATTTCCCTTCACGGAGTTCTTTTCAGAATTTCGGAAGGTTTCCGTTCATAATTCTTTTTTAATTTGGCTTGAATTCTACTTGGAATTGAAATTTTCGTTCGTATTTGCTCCTCGGGCTGAAGCCTCCTAAAAAGGCAGCCAACCTCCTGAAATTTTCAATACAATTCAGAATTCTCGCGTCACTTTTCAAACAGACCAATCTACATTGATCGATTCTCTTCACCGACTCTCTCTTTCGTTACTAACACGGCTCCAAAAACATGTTCAACTAGTTCAACTGTTCTTATTGTCCAATACACTTAATAATACTTTCTTCTAACATAATCACCCATTCTCGTTTTCGTTCGAACCGTATTTACCATACAAAAAAAAGTTTTTTTTTGTATGGGAAATACGGTTCGAACGAAAACAAGAATATGGGTGAATATGTAGAGAAATTTGAATGCAGCCAAGTTATTAAAGAAAGAAAGAGTCGATGAAGAGAATCGATCAATGTAGATTGGTCAATTTGAAAAGTGACGCGCAACATGAGAAAAGGGCCTGTCATTGTTGTTCGATTTTCTTCATCGATTTTCTCTTTCGCGAATAATCCGACTGCAAATGAATTTCCCATTCAGTGTGTTGTTTCAGGCGCAAGCTAACATCATCTTCTGTCGAACTGTGCTGCGAGCTTAGCGAGAAATTCAAGACCAACAATTGAATTGGCCTTAACTTCATTTTGTAAACAAACCTTGTAAGGCCATTTTCTCGCGAACCGAAACCTTCATTCGCAAACATAAACCACAATCGGGTAGAGGCGAATTTTCCCACCTGTTCATTATGTTGGTTTGCCTTTGCGGACTTCGGTTCGCGAGAAAATTGCCTTACAAGGTTTGTTTACAAAATGGAGTTAAGGCCATTTCAAATGTTTGTCTTGAATTCGTTTATGTTGGTTGCCGTCAATGAGCTGGATTACCGAGGTGAAGCAATCGGTTAAGTTGTGTGAGTAAAACCCCTGTCCGATACAAGCAAGTAGTGACGTCACTACTTGCGTTTACGTTGATTTTTTGGTTTACTAATACAACCATATTTCACGATCTGCTTCACCTATCTCTGTACCTCATTGGGTTGCCGTGGTAAACCAAAGAGAAAGTCAATGAAGAGAATCGATCAACGAGGATAGGCCTTTTTCAAATGTTACGCGAGAATTGTCATTGTAATTTGCTCATAATTAGCTTGGAGTTTTCCTCTAATTTCAATTACAATTATCGCTAGAAATTCTTATCGAGATGCCCTTGAAATTATCCTAAGGATTCCCTTAAAACGCTTCTCAAAATTGATTTGGAATTGCACCCTCAAAATTCGATTGGCATTTCCCGCGGTTCAGAATCATCATTAAATTTTGTACAGAATTACCTACTTAAATATTCAACTCTGAACTCAAATTGGCTCTCTTGGAGTCTCCCAAAACTGCCTAGAAAATTTTCTCTGGAATATTTTAGTGTTATCCCTAGAATTAATTTTAAAATCTCCTCAAAATTCCTTTGAAATTTAATCTCTTAACAGTTCTTCAAGTAACTGTATTCTGAAAATTTAGTAGTCCTAAGGTCCAGAATCTTTTATCGAAGCATATTTTTAACAAATTTGTCATCGAAAATCACGGACTTCTCTCGAACTCCAGGCTTTTTCCTCGGCTTACTGGCCACCCCTGCTATTTTGGGACTTAAAATATCGTCAGCAACTTCTGCCCTTTTGTAGATAAAACCGTCTTTGTTTAAGTCAAAAGTGTAGAATTAGGTTGTAGTATCTTTAGTTTTAATTTAATATTTGAGAGAACAAAACAAAATTGGTGCCATTATGTTATGCTATGTTGTAACCTTCCGTACTATGTGCATCAGATAAAAAATGGTTTACACCCGAAAATTTACCTGTTTAAAAATTATCTGCACCTTCAATTGCAATAATATTTTAAATTTAATTTTTCACATATTTTTAAACGGTCAAGTTACCTAAACTTCCACCCATCGTTTAAAAAACAGCGTACCTATGTTTTTTAAACCGCGCAGTAGGAATGTTTCCTAAATTTTCCAAAACATGATCAGGAATGCATGACAACTAAAAATCGAGTTTTTTTTTCTAAGAAGGCTATAATTTACCGAACGCACATAGCCAAATTGAGAAAGTAATAATGCGGTGATTGGTTTCAACAAACGATTAGCCGCAAAATGTAGGTCATGCGACTAGTCACACAAGCCATTAACAAATAACTAAGATTCTCACACTTCACTGAACTTGTCAGATGCACCATTTATCATCAAGCCAACGGCACGCTATTTGCTATTGTTTTGCCTCGACCTTCCCTTTCTCTTCCCACAGCTCACTATTGCGCTCTACACATGTACCACTACATACTACTAATCGTATAATGTTGTTCGTCGGGTGGAAAACAGGGAATTGATTGTCGCACAGAAGACGGGGGAAAATATATGATTAAGCAGGCTCTCTCTTCTTTTTACACAAAGCAAAAACACACTGTTGGTTGTTTTTCGTTTCACAGATTTTCACGTCTGCTCTGTTTTATTCGTCTTCTCTCTCTCTCTCTCTTCTTTACATCCTCTTCTTTGCTTCTTCTTCTCCTTATCTCCTGCGCTTTGATGGCGACGATCTTCTTACAAGTGTACTTTTTTCATGTTCTTCTTCATTTTTTCGTCGTCACTTAGCTTTGTGTGTTCACAGTGTTCAACTGTCTTTCTCTTCAATTTTGGAATCTCTGTCCTTTTTTTTTGTTTTGAATAAAAATGATGATCAGTTGGTAGATTAAATGAGAAAATTCTACTTGGGACATAACCATCACTCATGCTCTTGCTGTGTGTATGTCTGTGTTGCATTGTTTGAATTTTTCTCTACATTGTTTTTTTTTTAGACGCTTAAGGCACCTGCTCTTCTTGCCTCATTTTCCCCCACTTCTGTTTTCCACTGTTTCCACCCGAGAACTTTTGTCTTGTCGTTTGTTGAAATTTGTCTTCTCTCTCTCTCACCCTTGCCCGCGATTGACATAATTTTATCGTTTTGATTAAACACTAAGAAATGAAATCTAATCTACTTGAAGAAAAATTAATTATTCGTGTAAAAATGAAAATTGATCTGATTAAACGCTAAAAAAAAAGAAAACACTAGATACTACCACTTACTATAATAAGCCTAAGTTTATGAAAACCGTTACCAGAAAAATTGTTAAAAATTAAAAAAAAAAGCAATTGAAAACTTAACTAGCGAATAAGAAAAAAAATGTTTCATGTTGTAAGAAGTGTAATATTCTAAATCTAAGGGGAGAATATAATATTTTTTTTGCTCAATTAATTTCGCTGCTAGGATAAAGAGAGAGAAGGAAGAGCACGCGCGCGAACTTCTTTTTTGTTCATCGAAAATTACACAACTACTGCTAAATGTGTCCATAATGATAGGTAGTTTAAATTTAGCAATTATTCACAAGCAAAATAATGAAAAGTAAACCAATGGAACAATGGCAAATTTCGTATGACATTTCGCTGAGCTTTGAGGGCGTAGGTCATTTATCTATTGTTTCACCGGAAAATGTCATCTGACACGGAAAATAGTTTCCAAATGTCAGCGAAATGTCACCAAAAGCCAATCATTGTTTGAAAATAAGCATTGGTATGTATAGATGTGTGTGTGTGTGTGTACGGCAGAATTCGAAAAATCGTAAAAGAAAATCCGAAATAAATCGATCATTTGCGGTGGTGGTGGTAACAAACATGAGAGGGAAGATAGGGCATTACAAATAACAAAAAGTTACAAATAGAAAATTGGCTCGCTTACTAATAACTGAAAAATGTGGTGTTTTGATTGCTGTTCTGTTTGTTTACAATTATGCTACAACAGTATTATTATTAGTAACTGAGTTTGGTTGATGTTTGATAAATTGAAAAACAAAACCGGCGGCATGCATGCAAGTAAAGAATCATCTGTTCTTGAGAAGAGACGGCAATCGCGAAGCGGAGCGAGCAAGAGTGACAACATTCGCCATCCCTCTTGCTCGCTCTGCTATCGTCGATTTGCTCTCTTCGATCGTTCATGTCAGATTTACGAATGGAGAAGCATGAGTGCGTTTTTCTATACATTTTGATTTACGATTTGATTTCTTCGATTTTAAAATTGGTAGTTTAGCAAACAAAAGTTGTACGTTAATTTCCTGACGTTCTAGGTTCTATCGTTCTTTTTTTTTTATCTGAATCAATATCAGAAGATCAAATAAAGTTTGTCGAAAATTCGATAAATCTTGCCACAAAAAAATACTTGTCGTATCTGTTTCTCCACAAAGGACACTTGTCGAGAAGAGGAACCGGGCGCTTCACCAAAAAAATTGATTGCGCCTCCGGTCGTCGCATTTCTATAGGACTCTTTCTCTCTCTCTTTCTCTGTCTCATCGCTGACCTTATTGCTAAAGAACTTAAACAATAACAATGTCCTTTTCGTATAAAAAATAAGACTCTTGTGTGTAGCAAACTTCCACTCTGAACTTCCTCCTTGATTTTCCCCATTTGATTGTATGTCTATCACAGGCAATTTTTGCAGTCAGTTCGCTTCCCTCTCGGTCGCTCATTCGACCGATCCGGAGGAAGATCCATACACACACACCACACACATTGGTAGTCGGTGGATGGATTCCTACGGAGCTGAGCGGATTTCGACCCGAGAGGAAGTTTCGTTTGATTTCGTTAAAAATAAGGGAAAAATATTCGCACCAGAGTCTCGCTTCTAATAGTAAAATCGAAAATAGGTTCAAAACGATTTCTTCAAAGCATCGATCTCGTAATCTCATGTTGTTTGTTCCTCCTTCTTCTCGAAACTCTTTCTGCAATTCTTTCGTTTCATTTCTTCCGCCTTCCTTTTTCATTCATTATTTGGGGGGGTGGGGGAAGAAACAATTTCCTTGCTCCTCGTCTTTTCAAAACATTTGAACTTATTTTTTTTGCAATATTGAACCCCAAGTCAAGAAATGTATGCATATATATGATTTTATATAGGAAAAAAGAAAGACAAAAAGATGATGGAAAAAGGCAGAAAAAACAACAACCATTAACATTAACAACTCTCTTTCTTAATGTAAGAAAACAGTTGACCAGAAAAGCGAACCGTTTTTCGATTATTTTCGATTTATACTTTAGCTTTTTGTTTGTTAATATTTTGTTTTCTAACGACAAACGTAATAAAAAAAAATATATTTGCACTTTGAGGTATTTCGGTGTTTTCTTTGATTTAAAAAAAAAACTGTGTCAAGCAAATTTAGGGTATGATTGCAAATTGAGGCGACGCGCGTCTCGCAATTAAAAGCAAAATATTGAAAAATTTCGACAAGTTGGAAAGAAATTCGATAATTAAATTTGTTTGTTTGTGTACAAATGTGTGGCAATAGAAGTCGAATTAAACAAAAAAAAAATATTAAACTGGAATGGACCAAACGCGCGCGCGCGGAAAACCTCCCGACGGAAAGATTACTTCCAAACAAGCAAACAATAGACAGTAAAGAGACTTTGCTCGACTCTACAAATTGCTTCAATTGAGAATATCAAAACAGGTTTGGCTTTGTCTGCTCCTGTATCTTTCTGTAATCGTTACGGTTTTTTTTTAAAAACAAATGCGGTAACTACTATTCTTTTAGCGCAACTTAGATTCTGTGAGGTATTTCTCGTTGTTTGAATTTAAACGTTAAATCAATGCAGCAAAACTCAGCAATCATCATTTCAAGTGAAGTGCTTTCTGCTTTTACTTTACTTCTTTACTCTCGCAAGAAAAAGGAAAATATGTTGATCAGTTATCAGATTGGAAAATTAACTCATGCTCTAAAGAACTCTAACTTTTGTTTACTTGGAACCCACGTGTTTGCAGTTAAATGCTTTACTTTTTTTGTTTGTTTGAATCAAATACGTTAATAAACACACCTCCATTCGAAAATTTGTATCATCGTAAGAAGAACGAGTGAATTGGCAAAAACAAAAACTTCAAATCTCTTAAAAGGTTATCAATTATTTCTTGTAGGTAAAAAAGGCAAAAAAGTAATGGTGGCGGTGGTTGTTGTATAGAAAGGTAATAAAAAGTTATTCAAGAAGAAAAAAGTCTCTCATTGGTAGTGTTTCTGTGAATGGTTGTTGAATTTACCGTAGTGGGAGTAATCATAACCGTTGTAGCCCCATCCCGCCCAATCGCCACCATAATAGTCACCGTATCCATATCCGCCCTGGTTGCCATAACCGCCGCTGCCGCCGTATCCTCCTTGTCCGCCCCAGCTTTGTCCGTAGCCTGCAAGTGGGAGAAAGGGTAGAGAAGAAGAAGAAGGGAAGTGTTCGTTAGCTCTTTTGGTTTTAGGACTTCGTTCGACGTCGACGTCGTGTTGGTGGAAGATTTCAGAGCAGAATTTATAGGGGAAATGTCAGCTTCGGCAATACCTTAACCTATTATCGTCAAAGTCTTAGAGCACTCCAATTTGGTCAAGAGATGCTCTGAAACACAATGTATCCAACATGCCAAAATTCAGCTCTCAAGAACGTTGTTTACCCTCCTGATGATAATAGGTACAGGTATTGCCGAAGCCGACATTTCCCCTAGTTTACTCTCAGTATGGGGACGTATTCTGCGTTTTGGAATAATTGCCTATTTTTAATAGCGCTGCACAAAGGTCCAGAAGTCGTATTTAGGTGGAATAATTCGTGAATTCAACGATTTACATTGCTGAAGATGCTGATTTCAAATAACAGACTAAAGTGGTAATTTTTATACGATAGATGAGGAGATGAAAGTATAGAATCAATAGTTCCGTCAGAGTACGGCAGTGTGAAAACTGCATATAGAGAGTAGAAAGCGAGCAAGGACAACTTTAGGAAGGTACAAATGATCATCTGGTAAGGGGCTGTTCATAAACTACGTAGACAGTTTTTTGGGATTCTTAACCCCCTCCCTCCCCCTGCGTAGACAATTGTCCATACAAAAATTTTAAAATTTGTATGGGCCGTGGATAATTGTCAACCCCCCCCCCCCCCCCCTAAACTGTCTACGTAGTTTATGGACAGCTCCTAAAGAGACATGATCAAACCGATTTGTACCTTGAATGTCTTTTTTGTTTAACTCATTAAATTATCTTTTGAAAACGACGGTTTTTTTTTTAATGAAAATTGTATACAACTTTCCAATAACAAAAAAGATATTAAGTTTGGTGCTTCAGCAAAAATGTGCATCTTAAGAAGCTCAAGAAGTGTCTAGCACAAATCATTTACGAGAAATCAATCCATAAAAAGTTAATTTAAGAAAATGCAAGGGTCACCACCCTATGTTATTTATTAGAAAAATTAAATTATGATAGATAGATTGCTTCCTTCAGCACAGCTGCTTCAAATGAATTGTTCTACAACTTTGTCACTTGCAGAACAATTCAATAATTGTCGGAATGTTAGACAAAATCAGGGGAAACATTTTAAGAAGGGTCTAACTCGAAACGCAAACAATGACTTGGATCGTCGGTTTCTTACGAATGACAACACACTCACTCAAACTAGCTGAATCATCTCTGGATCAACAATAGAAAAGGGCCCATCAGCATTTGTAAACAAACCGTTCCAAAGCCCCCTACTCACAAAGCGAAGGCCACCCACGCAAACCAACACCATCATCGGATAGGGGAAACTTATATCTACACGATGATGGTGTTGGCTTGTATGGGCGATCCTCGATTTGTGAGGAATGGGCTTGGAACAGTTTGTTTACAAATGCTGATGGGCTCTTTTCTATTGTTGATCCAGATCTGACAGAGCAATGTTTCTTCTATGAGCTTAGGGGCTGTTCATAAACTACGTAGACAGTTTAGGGGGGGGGGGGGCTTGACAATTATCCACGGCCCATACAAATTTTAAAATCTTTGTATGGTCAATTGTCTACGCAGGGGGAGGGGGGGGGGGTCAATAATCCCCAAAAACTGTCTACGTAGTTTATGAACAGCCCCTTAAGAGAAATCGACGTTCAACGTCATTGTTTACGTTTCGAGTTAGACCCTTCTGACATGCTTCCCATGAAATTGTAGATTAATTTATTTGAAGCAACTTTTTGCTGGAGGAAGCAACATTTTTGATTTAAAATCGCTTATTACTTTTCAACTAAAAGAGATAAAATGTGCGCCATTAAAAACTTACAAAGTGTCTAGAACAAATCTCGCGTCACTTTTCAAAAGGTCCTAAGTAACAAATGTAAACAAATCGAGTTAAGTGATACAAACTATTGCGCTTCCATCATTGTATGCGATACAAAAACATCCATCAAAATTTACTTTCATTTATTTAAGATAATCATAGGTTGAAAATTGTCCAATATACAGTTTGTAATGATGTGAACATGATTGTTGCTTCGGTCATTCGGACTGCTTAACATGATTGGTGCTCATTTTCTAAAGGCGGGGCCAATCTGAAGTTAGGTACTCTACTCTGAAATCTGTGAAAGGGAATCTAGTATCAAGTAGAACCAAACTTCCAATGGACAATTACGCGCGTTTTCACTTCTTAGAAAGTGTGCTAAAAGTGCACGTTTACGTCAAATCGTTTTGGTGTTTTTGGTATCTCGAATAAATAAAAATCACTTAAATTAATAGTGTTTCCAGGCCAAAAATGACCCCAATTGCACTAGAAAGGTTAGGTCATTCGTGAATTATCCGAGGATGAGATTTGAACTAGCTAAAAGTTGATAGATAGAACTCATCAACCGCGTAAAAGGACAACCCTAATAACTTGGAACATCAAAAGATTGACTAAAATAAATGAAAGACACTATTTACCTAAAATGTCACAAACACTATTATGCCGTTATTCGCATAACAATCTTATTTGCTATTGATTTCCTATCTATATGGGACTGTTATGCGAATAGCGGCAGTATTGGTCTACCTAAATACGACTTCTGGACCATTGGCAGCGATATTTAAAAAAAATAGCCCAACAAACACAACGTTTTTTTTTGTAAATTGATCTTAACACTGAAAACGAATCAAACTCAGAGAGTGAGTCACTTTTCGTCATTCGTATGAGACATTTCTAAAAGCGTCGGTTACTCATGCGCTGAATGACCTACGCTATCGAGTAAACAAGTAGTGTATTTTTCAACCAATTCGAGTATGAATATGGCATTAAATCTGGTTTCGGTTCAGGCATAACATTTGATAACGACACAAAAGCATTTGTTAACAAACTTTCTAAGGCCCTTTACGCGTTTATAGTCTGGCGGACCAATTGAGCTGCAAAATAGCGGAACTAATCGAGCAAATGACGACCAACAACAGAAAAGAGCACATGAGCTATTGCGAACAAAATTTCGGAAACCGTTTTCTCGTGATTCAAGGCTCGCCTACACAAACTAACACCATCTTTAGGTTGTGGAAAGTTTCCCCTGTACGATGATGCTGGTAATTTACCTTCGATTGGCGAGGAAAGAATAATCAACGTTTTGTTTAAAAAAAAGTTGATAGTACCTTTTCAATTGTTGGTCTACAATATATTGAGTTGGTTCCGCTTTTTGATGGATCGAAATTCTATCCACCAGACTATGAATATAGCGACTATATTGCGGACTCACTCCACTCACTTTGTTTGTCAACTGGGAGCTACACGGTGAACTGTCAAAGGGGAGCCTCAAATGTATCTAAACTACCTTAATGTGCGCAGTTTTCAAAAACCTAAAATTATATGATATTTTGAATTGAGTTGAATGTGTAAGATAGTTATTATTCACCCCTATTCGGTAATCCGTTCAAAACGGATCATTCATTCAAACAATTTTTGGTGTGTAGGAAATCCGTTTCGAACTGGGTAGAGAATAGTGGTGATGATTCACTAGCCTATGAGGAAAATCAAGAGCCACATGTGAAAAGGGCATACAGGCTTTTTGTAAACAAACCAGTGGCGTCCCATAACCTCACTTTTTACCTGTGCACCAACGTTCAAAACCAGATTAAATGCCATTTTCATACTCGAATCGGTTGAAAAATACACTTAATCTAGACTAAAATTTGAAAGGGGCGGAAGAGCCAAAATGTAAACAAACCATATTTTGCCACATATAGAGAAAATAGTTCACAAACTACTCGATAAACACGAAAAAGTAGAAGAAAATATCACTTCAAATCATCAAAAACGTTTCTTCTTACATGGCGTATTTCCAACTTTCAACTCTAAGATGCATCTGGTTGTTACGCCTTGGACCAGAACTACGAATTATATCGTTTTATTATGCCAAACGTATTGAGTCTGAAGTATCTAGTCACGCCCGATTCATTTGAAATGCATCCGATTGATAGTTCACGTGTAAACAACGAACAAAAAGAAGACCAAAAAAAAAGGCGGGCGTAATTCCACTCTCACAAAATTTGCGAACGAAGAACCAAGGCGGAACAACAAACAAAAAAAACCCGAGGGTGTACTTCCACGGCGTATCACCAGTGTTGGCAGTTCAAAGGGTGGAAGATCCGGGGGGTAACAACATGTATGAAATTATCAGGGCGTATGATGTTTTCTTCTCGATTTCACGACAAAGAAAACTTTTTTTGAGTTTTTAGTGATGCATGATGATAGATTACACTATTAACTATATGTCAAGCTTATAAAATCATCCAGAAAATGGAAAGTCGTGAAATAGGATTAATTTTTAGGTCATCAAAATTCAGAAGCGATTTTCTCGATATAGTCATTTTGGAATTACGCCCTTTTCAAATGTTAGTCTAGTAATCTTCTAGTTTACTCCACACTCCAAAAAATATGCACGTCCGATCTACGTGAAAACATAGGTAGCTTTCGTCCATACTACTTTTCACGTAACATTTACGTTAATGTCATGTAGCCAAAAATATTCGCATTTAGTGGTCAACGTGAACAGTAAGGTAAATTTTACGTGATTTCCACTTAACTTGGAATAGATTTTCACGCAATGTTTACGTGATTCTTAAATGATATTTACAGACATTTATTGTTTATATTACGTTTACGTTTCGTGATTTTTACTAATATTGAAATGGAATGTTTACGTGATCTTGAAGCAACGTTTACAGGATCTAAAAATACCATCATTTTTAGATTTTTTAATTAAACGTCAAGCATTTCTCTATTGCCATTAAAAAATTAACACTGAACATTTCGTTGCCTCAAATCTTTGATCAGGACCATTCTGATGCAATATCTGTTTGCGCTGTCTTATTCAGAGTTGTGATATTGATTCCAGCCTCTGAAATCTAAATAAATAAAATTATTTGCGCGGTCTTCGAATGATGTAAAATAGTATAAAAACAGCTTCTAGTTTATGCAGTGTTAGTGTTAGGAAATCCAAAAATGAGAGCAACTCTTCCTCTAATGAAGTCGACGCCATATTGAATAACTTTTTCATACATGTAAATCACGTAAACCCATTTCACGTAAGCACTTTCATCATCAGCTCCAGTGAACATTACATGGTATGTTTGTCAATTTCACTACCATCATGTGAAAATGGAAGTTGAAGTAATCGAAATGGCTACTTGATTTTTCACGTAGGTTGAACGTGTATACTTTGTAGAGTGTACATGCTTATCACATTCTTTTTACGTGAAATTCCCGTAGTATCAACCGACATGAAAATCACGTAAATTTTATCAAAATTCCATTTGACATTGATCTGCGGCACGTGAAAATGATTGAAGTGGGGTGTTTAAGGGGTTACGTGATTTTTCACGTAGCATCAACGTGAAGATTTTTTGGAGTGCATATCTCCGGAGAACTTTGAGATTTGGGCGTAATTGTTTTTTGTAAAAAAAACACGTCAATCGCCGATTTCTCACGAATAAAAGCTCAATCTCGCAAACAAACTATACCAAATGAAATAAGAATCATTCCTTTTCCTGTCTGTGTTATTAGTTTTTAAGATTGAGCTTTAATTCACGAGAAATCGGCGATCCGGATCTATCCATTGTAAGCAATATTTTGATAATTTTTAATGTTTTGTTTGAGTTGTTGCACTGGTAGATTGAAGTTAAGGAAACGCCACTGAAACAAACCTTTGTAGGTCCTTTTCTCGCCAACCGAGGGTCGGCCACGCAAACCAACATCATCGGTTATGTTGATGGTTTGCGTTGGTGTCATATGGGTGGTGAGAAAAGGGCATAAGAAGGTTTGTTTACAACAAGCTTGTATACCCTTTCACATGTTGTTCTTCGAAATTTAAATTAAGAATAATTACAATAGCACATATTGGCAAAATGAGTGGAGTTGAGTGCCGCGCAAAATTATGGCACTTCTCTCTGTGACTTTTCTTATCTATCTCAAGTATTGTAATCTCATAGAAATGAATCATACTTTTAATAACTATTTGCACATTATTAACTGTTAATGCTTTCTTCACTCGAAAGGTTCAGTGAAGAAAGCATATAAACCAACACAGTTTGGATGTCTAACCTCACCTGTTGTTCGACAACTCTCAAAGCGTTAACAAATAAAAATATATTGCATTGAACCGATACAAATTAGTCTAGAAGGACCCTATGCATTTTGAGGCCTTGAATATATATATATAGGGGAAATGTCTCTAATGTTGGCCTATGGATCTAATATTGGGCCCATCGCTAATAATCTGCTATTTCCGGAGTGATTTTAGATTTGGGCGTAATTGTAATTGTATTTGTAAATAAACACGCCAATCGCCAATTTATAGCGAATAAAAGCTCAATTTTAAAAACTAATAACACTATGAGGTAGAGGTATGATTCCTCTATCATTTGGTATAGTTTGTTTATAAGATTGAGCTTTTATTCACGAGAAATCGGCGATTGACCTGTTTGTTTACAAATACAATTACGCCCAAATCTCAAATCACTCCGGATTTATCAATTTTATCTAGATAAACGCGTTATTGGGACGTTACTAATGGATATTTTTGTTTGCTATTGAAAATTTAGTCGATTGTTGAATTTATGTATGGGCCTAAATTAGGGACACTTAGGCCGACATTACCTGCATTTCCCCTATATATATATGATTCTAAATAACGTTCTCAAAGTGGTTAACAGGCAAAAAGTGAGGTTACGAATAAAACATATTCGTCTGGCGAAACAATAATGTATCATTAGTCATGAGGGCTCTCAAGCACTTCTGGCTCACAACTTTAGGCAGGATTCAACTGGAAGAAAAGCAAATCAGTTTTCCATTGATATGCAAAATACGATCGATTGAGTCCGCAGAACCCAGCTCATAACATTAAAACATGCATTCCGTTGTTACCAACTTTAAACTCAATATATCCAGCTGAAATTTCAACCATAGTTGACTTTAGAATGACATCGCCGGTTCGTCGAATCACTCACGTTGATTTTTTTTTTAAACGAACAAAAAAAACTGCCGTAGAGATAAGCTGATTTTCTACAAAAAAAAAAATGACGCCTATAAATTAGGTGTTTAGTACTGCTTCTAACCAATGGCGTCTTATTCTTTTTCCTTGCTTTTCGAACTTATTGCGTCCTAGATTCACTTCCACGGTAATTAATTGATAACTTTCGATGCCTGTACCATTTTACATTAGTATAATTATAGATAGAGCTGGAATGAGAGCGCAAATTATTAACAATGACTCTCGATGATTTCTAGGAAATAAAGGCACGCCCACGCAAACCAACATACCCGATGGTGATGTTGATTTGCGTTGGCGAGCCTTAACTTTCTAGAAATCTAGACCAACAATTGAAATAGACGGAGCAACCAAAAGTAAACAATGGCTTTAAACGCAAATTCCTCGAGAATCAAAGTACATCCAAGTAATCTAACAGCATCATTTGATAGAGTAAATTCCTTTATCAAATAATGTTTTGATTCTCTTTAATTTTGTGTTTGAAGCGGTTGTTTACGTTTGGTTGTTCCTTCTATTTATATTATTGTTGATCTAGAAATCATCGAAAGAAGTCATTGTTTACAAAAGCCGTGACGCCCTAATTCCAGCTCTATCTAGAATTTTGTGGCAAGTACAATCATGCTATATGCCCAGGCAAGTCGAGAAATTCTCCAACCCGAACAATTTCTAGACCGGTCCGGTCCGGGAATCTTTTCTTTTTTAATTTTCACATAGGTAAAAAGTGAGGTTACGATTTTCATGGGGAGAATCCATAGTCTGTATGGGTGTGCTAGCAGTACCAACAAATTGACGATCGAAGCCTTCGTTTACAAAAAAACAAGTTGCATCGATTTGAAAAGCACCACTTACATTATTCCAAACGGCAGTTATGCCTAATGGCACTATAGGATAAGGAAGGGCAAGGTTGAGTCAGCTAGTGCATGTATTACTGAGGCTTATTCTGCACCGCGAGTGTGGTGAGATGTCTCGTGACTGAATAAATCAAGAAGATAACCCATCTTACTCCCATTAAAAATCTGGATCGGTCACACCAGTAACTCTGCTTGTCAGTTATTGAAGCGATCTTTCCTATACCATGAACTGCAAATCAACGCATTTTTTAAATACTGTTGCTTTCCTTAACATGACAAAATAGAAAGGCGTCCGTCATTCACTTTGTACGTCAACTTAGATGGATGAAAAGTGCGTCTTTTTCGTCCGGTAGCAGAGAGTAGGGATGTTACACTTACTTTTGGGTCCTCCAGGTCCCCCGCGTCCACCTCGGAAGCCACCTCGCGGCGGTCCACGCATGCCACCACGTCCACCCATCGGACCACCCATTCCCATGTTGTCGGGTTTGGGAGTAGCTTTCTTTACGTCCACCTCCTTGCCGGAGATGGTTTGCTTTGGCGTTTTGAGCAGTTCGTTCACCACCTGCTCCGAGTCGAAGGTGATGAAGCAGAAGCCCTTGCGCTGATTCTTCTGCTTGTCGAATGGCATCTCGACTTCGACGATCTACAACGAGAGTTTTTTAAAGCAAAACCAAAATATGATTAGTAAAATTTGCTCCCGGAGATTTTAGCTGAACATCTTTTAAAAAGAATGCGTCAGAAATTTTGTGCTTAGGGTAAATAGTTTTAATCACGGTGCTCATAAGCAGAACTGAATAAGGGTGATCATCATGTAAAATCTTACAGAAGTATTGTAAAGACAAGTAAAAACTTCCAACTCACATTGCCAAACTGTCCGAAGAAGGTCTTGATCTCTTCATCACTGATCTCCGTGGTCAGTCCACCGACGAAAATTTTGCCGTGACGGGCCTTGGCCTTCTTTGGGTCGACCTTCTTGTTGTTGATGACGTGATCGCCGGCGGCGACGACCTTATCGATCGAGTCGGCATTCTTGTACACGATGAAGGCGAATCCTCGCGAGCGACCCGTGTTGGGATCTGTCTTGACGTTTATGCTCTCGATTTCACCATACTGGCCAAAGTGTTCCTTCAGTTCCTCTGTTCAATGGGGGGTTGGAAAAAAGACAACGTTAGTAAATCTGATGGGATTCTCTTTCTGAGACGTGACTTAAAATAGAAAACAGATTGGGAGGAAAAATTAACATAAAAGGGTTCAAAATTAGGAAAGCTTAACAGAAAAATAAGGACACAGGAATAATAGTAGTTTAACAAAAACCGAAAAAAAAGGAAAACTAAAGAATTTTTGTGAAAATGTTTAATAATATAAAAAGGAAAAATGTATATTACTGTCTGATGTTTCCCAACTAAGTCCACCAACGAATAATTTTCTGGAATGTGACGAAAATTTACGAATTAGAATTGATCCTTGCAACTTGTTATGCGTGTTCATTTACTCTACAACTCTAGAAAAAAATAGTTAAAAGTTTTGATTAATGTTTGATTAATGATTACAAGTTACTCTGGAATTATTGATTAATATCTATTGTAGAAAGCTGATCGCACAAAAGAAAAAACAATACAACCGTTCTTCGTATTCATTTGACAGTTTATTTGGAATCGTTACAATCAGAATTTGGAAAATACGTTACAGCTAAATGGTAAATATGGAACAATTTCTTTTAGTTCTAGAATTTACGTTACCGCTAAGTTAGGAGCAATAGCAATATCATCGTAAGGAGCCACCAAAAATCAACGAACTCGAGTTTTTAGACTTTCAGACTGACTTATCACACGCCTATTATTATTGAAAAATTGTCATTAAATTGGAATTGTAGATTTTTTTTTTATATATGGAAAGAAAATAAAAACTAAAGGGGAGTAACGAAAAAATAACGGAAAATCATAAAAGGGGAAAATGATAAACGTGTATGTGTGGAAAGGGTTTTTTTTTTTTGGTTTAATAAATCGGTAAAATTGATTCTCTGAAGGAGATGACTTGTTTCGACTATTTTTAGTTTGTTTTCCAATTAGTTTTTTTTTTTTTTACGAAAACAGAGTTTTTTTTTTGGGTATTATTTGGTGTTTATAGTAAAATAAATACCATCTTGCTTCTCTTCGAGAGTCCCTCGCACTCGCCTGGTGCAGAATCATCCCACTTCCTGTGTCTCACTCAGCTGTCCACTCTTCTGTCTTGTCTCACAGAGGCTCTCTCACAGGGTCTCTGTCACACTCAACAACCTGCCGGAGAGGAACTGGGTTAGTCGTTCGCTCTAGACGCAACAGGAGGATCGGATCCTAGCAGATGTGTAACTGTTTACTAAGACTTTTTTTTTCTTTGGCTTTGTTTTAAATTTACTTCTCTATTCAACTCTTTATAGTTTAGTTTTTGGAAGCTCTCGAGAGATCTGACCAGTGGTGGTAGTTATGCTATGTATCGTTTACTCTCTAATAAATTGCAAGTGCTCACTAGAATGTACAATATGTTCACAAATGATTTAAATCTTACAGAATAGACTATATAAAGTTTAAGAATTAATTAGCGATAAAACACAGATCAATAATGAAGGTATTTCGTTTTATGAAGAAAAAAAAAACGCAGTTGGGTCAATGCTATGATATATAAAAAAATTTAGGCCTATTCCTATTTTAACCACTGATTGGTTATCTACATTAATGTAAAAACACAGAAAAATACTGTACTGAAGCTTGGTCTCATCAAATCTTGTTACATTCAAATGTCTCTCTCGTTAACGCGTGTGATCGACTTTAGTGTTATTTCGAACCTAACACCAATTAGCATCAATCGATGCAAAATATAAACCATATTGTATAGAAGCAACAATTCAAAATAAATAACAAATAGCTACCTATTAATTATCCGGTAGTGGATGCATTGACTTATACATATTCCCTTGAAACTTAAAAAAACTTAACTAACCCTATTTTCAACCAAGTTGTTGACCACCGTGATTAAGTTCTGTGTTCCATTTGGTGAATTTTTCAATTTTCGAAAATTGCCCATCTGTCAAATTTAAGTGAAAATTCATCAAATAGAACACAGCCTAAGTCCCTAATTTTCTGGCAGTTTTGAAAATTCCAAAGAGAATGTGTAATATGGATATTATTAATTGAGCTAAATATATACTTAGGTATTGTTGCTAATGTATGGGAATAATCTAAATTTCGAAAATATTACAATACACTTTAAAATGTTAGCAAAATGAGCTGTGTTGGGATGTCGCGCGAAATTATGGTAATTTACAGTGAACACATTTTGATTTATTTCTCCTACGCACATGATTCAAATTGTTTCTTTCTGCGGTTCGTATTGCAGCACCACATGGTTTTTTCAACTTTTAAATTAGGAAACCCATGCTTTTTTACGGTTTCTTTATGCTTATTTCCGAGAGTGAATGTCAAAGAATTTACTTATTTTTGAATTGGGATGACTCGAAATTGAACAAACGAAAAAAATTAGCTATTAATAGAAGGTTTTGATCTTAATGACCTTAAGTTTTCAGTCCAATTCTACAGAAGAAACCTAACAGCTGTATTTGATTCAATTGTTTATAAATTTTCACACGAGGCCTTTGGATGATCATTGAATTACAAGGGAAAAAAATATTAAATATAGATAAACCACTTCCACTCTCGTGTCCCCTGCTTTGAACAACCACGTGGAGTATCCGGTAGAACTAGTAGCCTATAATTACCGTTGCTACGGTTACAGAGTTTGAATTCAAATGTCCTTAGCCTACTGTTACTGTGTTTACGGCGTCATTTCAACCGTTTAAAAATGCCCTACCTATTCCGCTTAGCAAATTCTTCCTCGTGTTGCGGACTACAGATTTTAACGGGACCAAGCTTCCTTCTTTTCTACCTTTCCGGAACAAACCCAACCAACAGACAAAATACATTCAAAATTGACCTGCCGAATTTACAATCTTTTGATTTTTACACAAAACATACTGACAGTACAACAATTGAAACATTGGGTCGAATTTCTCCCATTCGGCAAATATGGAATCGGCTTCCTCTAGGCATAGAAAGGTCGTTAATCTCGTGAAAAGATTCTCACAAGCAAGCAAGCTAGGAACAAACGCACTGGCAGAGCTGACGTCGGATGTTGATCACAGATCCTGATGGGCCTTCTCTAGAGCACTCTCTCTGATCACATTACGTTACGTTACGTTAAGCCATCATCATTTGAGAAACCCTCTTCTTCTGAACTTTGCGTCTATCGGAGGAAAACTGTACTAAGGATGCAAATCGATAACGCTGATGCCGGCATTTTCTACCTTCATTGTAGTCGTCGGCGATATTACTAGCATTATTATCATTACTATGTAGGAATAGGAAGTTGAAAAATACAAATACATATACAAACCCGCGGAGCTAAAATGGCAAACTGCTCGCTACTCTCTTCCTGTCCATCATCGGTTCTTTCGGCGGTGTGGGTTAAATGTACTAGAGATAACGCCAGGAAGCACTCGAAATTCAAACAACAGCGAAATAGAAACGGGACTTTTGCCTCTTTTCGCACACTTCCCGCCGCAAGTAATACTAATTTATAGTCTTCCGAGCAACGTTCCGCGGCGCCGAATACTTGAACCCGGCATTTTTTTTTTTAATTATTTTGCAACGTTAACTTCGAACGCGAAAAAACGGAAAGAGGCCAACAGACAGAAAGGAAAAAAAAAATATCGCTCACGCAGGCAAACCGTCCGACAGCCGCCATTTTGAATCGAATCGACCGAGAAAAGCACGCGTCTCCCCCGTGTGACACTGGGGAGGACAAGAAATCCGTTCCACCGGTGAACCGGCCTACCCTTCGCAACGACCAACGTACCAAACGAAAGAGAAAATAACCGACTCTCTAGCGTGTATCATTTTAATTGAATCATGAAAATTACCTACGCAAAATATCTTCTTTGAAAAAAGTACCTCTATGGAAATACATATGGGACGTGGCAGAGAAACTTCCGTGCCCTGGCCGGGATTCCAACTTACCTGTCGTCATCACGAACCGACGAGCCCTCGGCTCCGTTCTCCTTCTGGTCTCCGTTGTGGTCCTGCTGGTCTTGACCGTTTCCGTTCATCTCTTGATCCTGATCGGCCATTTTACTTTTTCTGCCTTAACACTTAACTCGGTTACACTTTCTACTAGGTACTAAGAGCCCCGAATGCGGTTAATTCCGTAAAATAAACTGCTCTTCACTTCCACGGGATGCAAGTTTAAAATTTGCAAGGAAAAAGTTGCTTTTTCCTTCAAACTAGAGATCCTAAAATCACTATTAAATTTAGAAACGCGATTTCTCAGCGAGTAGCGTGTGATCGCGTCTTGCTCCAGCGATGAACCCGAAGAGAAAGAATACTGCGCACTGACCGGGATGAGCGTCTGCTTCCTTCGTGTTATGCTGTGAGGTCTTCGAGCGTATGGTGCTTGCGTTTGTGTGAGTGAGCTTTGTTTACGTCACGAACGACAACGGTCACAACATTACTCACGATTTTGCTTGTCTACAATCAACGACTTTTCCGTCAATTATTTAACTGAAGCTAAATTCAAGTTTTATCACTTCAATCACGATTGTTATTCAAGTTTTCACCAATCACAAAATAAATACACCATCATAACAAAGCGTTTTGTGACTGTGTGCAATACACACCTCTGAGTACGTGAATTTTATGCTGACCCGTTTCCGTTTGGTTTTCGCAAGAAAATTTCCGGTACGAAATTCTGCTTTCAAGAAACCGGCTTGCGCTCAACTAACTGGGGGTGAGTCATCTCATACTAGGGTTCGGTCTGTTGTATGTCGACTGAACGAATGTCGACTGAATACTTTTCATTTGAAACCTACATTTCAGTGCCAACATTTCAAAGGGGCGTAATTGCATTTGTAAACAATGGCTTTAGCCATCGATTTCTCGCGAATAAAAGCTCACTCATGAAAAATAATGACACCATTAGGTAGAGGAATGTTTCCTCTACCAGCTAGCATTGTTATTTTGAAGAGGTAAGATTTCATTCACGAGAAATTGATGGCTAAAGTCATTGTCTACAAAAGCAATTACGCCCCTTTGAAATGTTGGCACTGATTTGGCGAATTTTCACTTACATTTGACGCTTCGAAAATAAATTTTAATGTTCGAAAATCCCTCTGTTGTTGATCATCCGATTTTCGAGAAGGTGTTTGTTAAAATTGGTGTTGTCAGAAATAAGTCTGTTACAATAGCAGGTTTATATGAAAAAAATCTGTCAAATTTAAGTTATACCCCGTTCACATTACAGCGTATATTACGTGATATACGCTGTCTTGCAATGAGCACTCATACATCTAATTTTCACTGGAAATCCTATGTATGAGTGCGCATTGCAAGACAGCCTATATTACGTGATATAGGTTGTAATGTGAACGGGGTATTAAAATTCACCAAATGGAACACAGCCTCAGTATACAGATCGAAGTGAAATGCAATTTGAAGCAAATGAAAAATCACGAAATTTTGCTAGCGAAAAAGGTTGTTAAAAATGGTTGTGGTACATATTCCAATTTGCTCATTCCGCAGTTGACTCACAGTTCACGTGAAGTGAAATCGATCAGTTTACGTGAAGTGAAAATCTGACAGATACGTTCTTTCTAGAAACGTCAACTTTTCGCTTAGCTGCTATGCTCTTCACAAGCATTTACCGGCGTGATAAAAGTAAATGTAAGCGAAAAAGAAACGATCCACAACATCTAATTTTGCACGTGAAGATTTTCACTTCGGTTCGTTCTCTACGAGGTTCTCTAACTCTAAAGGCCCAAACGCAATGTGGGCGGAAGCGGAACGGAAACGGAAAGTCTGACAGTTGTTACTAATGACATCAAGATGCCTAGCCGAAGTCGATTTGTTTTAACTAGCTTTCAATCCGACAAGTAGGCTTACTCAGATCAGCCTTTTCCGCTGCCGCTACCGTTCCGCTTCCGCTTGCGCTTGGGCCTTAACTCCTAAAACTAGAAATACTCTGAGTGGTGCGGAGAAACACGAAATGGTTGTCAAAAAGAATCCAACTGGTGCTGTCAAAAAGAATCCAACGATTTAGAGCTGCTAAAAGTGATACTTTTCTCATACAATCCCCGTCGGCAGAGAAAGTATTGTGGTCAATGTTGAAAATATTGTCATTTCGGCATTTTTTTACTAATATTCTTCAACAAAAAACTTGCTCAAATACTCGGATGTAAACAATGTAACGAACGAACGAACCTGCACGAACTGCTGAAGAAGGAATACAAACAAACTTTATAAGAGTCATGTGGGTAGGTGCACTCCCAACACCATGTACACGTTATTTATGGAGCAAAGGGTGAACTTTCGACAGCATGTATATGCAAATTGTGAGCAGTGCATTAGCAAAACAATTTGTGATATCGGAAAATTTTCAAGTTGTTTCCTGCTGACTTGCAAAACAAAAACGGCTGTGTTCGCAGTACCCAGGAAATACTCAAGAGCCACACACATGAGATCCGTTTTGCTTTGCGTTGACGTAAATTTAACGGTTAGACCGAGGGGGGCGACTCTATCTACGATGCTGGCAAAATTGTATTTTAATGTGGTTAGCTGTGCACACGCTGAGTAGCTAGAAAGAAGATTGATGACGATTCTGAAGATTTCCTGCGAAAAGATGATGCGCGATGCACTAGGGTAACTATTTCCTAGAATCCGACCATATTCGACTACACATACAGCATTCATCAGCTGTGGCGTGGAGCCTACGTAAGACGCTTATACGCGTGCCGGCACCGAACTGACATAATAAATATATTTTTGTATTTGTAGATTTTTATTTATCAAATCGAGTATCAAATAAAGAAAATATTTGGATTTAATATTTATTAGAATTGAATACTAAAAATGATTTTATAATCTTCAAAATACTTTTATTTAAATTGAAAATGCTTTTTGTGTAAATCAAAACAGTACATATAATTTCAAATTTACCACATTTTCATGTCAAAAATTGGTTTTGAATTGAAAAGAACCCACTTTTAATTTCAATACGCCGTGCTTTTCATTTGACAGGAGTACAATTCATCTTAAAAGTTTTAGCTTTTAAAAGTAGTGAACGGAAAACTTTTAATTAGACAATTGGTTGACTTTAGTTTTGAAAGCTAATTAGTTAACCGCTTTCTACCAAAAAGAACCAACGCAAACTTTTAATTTTACTAATGGTTTTTTTTAAATTTTATCAACGATTTTTTTTTTGTGTGAATGGGGAAACTTCGAGAGACGGTGTGGTCGAGAGGTGTACACTTCTTGGTATGAGTGCATGGAATTAAAATACGTACACGGATAGAAATTTCCTTATACCTTTTGGCAAATTTCCATTGCTGATTATTCATAAAATGTATAAGTCAACTAATAAGCAGACGCCTTGCAAAAAGTTAATAAAGATCATGTGTCAAATGAAATGTATAAGCGGTCACACATACCTTTTATGCATTCTAATATTACCTATGTGGTTTGTCTTATGGAATGTATAAGGCTGATGCTTTGGCAAAAATGTATAAGTGAAACACATGAATTAAATAATTGATTTTCGTTTCGTGTATGTAGTAATGTAATAGTAATAAATTGAATTTAAATCAGGGCGAGAATAAGGGGGTAAGTCACTCTGCCACATTGTGTTAACACCCACAAAAACACACTCTGATACACTCTAAATGCCTTCTTCAAAGATAATTTTTCATCAATTTTGGCACCACTTCCAAGAATGTTTACATCATTATTTGCTGTTTATAATAGACCAATCCATGATCTGGTTTTATCATTCATATTTGACAGAATGATGTTTTCGGTCAAGCCGACACTGTATCTTAATCTGAACATTACATTAGGTTCTATGTAACATTGACAGATTCTCTCCGTCGACTTTTTTTTTGTATCTCCACGGCCATGTAAAGACATTCCCAGGTATTTTCAGCACACAGATCGATAAAAGAAGTTTTCATCTAGCATCTAATACGACGAATACAACAACGAAACAACAACAAGAAACGATTATGTGCTCATGTTATTAACGAAAGAGAATATCGACAAAGAGAATCGATCAATGTTATCATTTTCTCCCTCATTTTCTCCGATTTGAACATTTCGATGTACTTCTTTCCGGTGTCCTCGATCACCTGTTAGATCTGATACCGATTCTGCGTGAAAAACTCCGTCGAAGTAATCTTCAGCGAGTCGAACAATGGAAGTGTATGGTTCCCGAAAACTGTATCCGTTATGCTGACCATATTTTGCTTTTCTCATACGCCCTTCTCCCAGTTGGGGTGCATAATCTTGTTGAGCTCCTTGAGCGTGATCTCAGCTAACTTCTCGTACTTGAAGTGGTTTTGTTGCTGCGGTTGCCTAAACGCTGAAAGCATAAAAATAAATAACTTGCATTTTAAATCTCGATTATCGATGTCTGAACGACACTCACTTTTGTGAGTGTCAACACAATGTGGCAGAGTGACTTACCCCCTGCATGATAACCATGTGGAAATTCGCCAATAAAAATGTGTCAAACTTTATGAGTGAAGAGGTACCAGATATCAAGCTGAACATTGCATTAGGTCCTAATTAACATTGACAGATTCTCTTCGTCGACTCTTTCTTTGCATTCCCACGGTCATGTAAAGACATTTCCAGGTATTTTCAGCACATAGATCGATAAAAGAAGCTTTTATCTAGCATCTAATACGACAAACACATCAAGAAACGGTTCTATGATCAAGTTATTAACGAAAGAGAAAGTTGATGAAGAGAATCGATCAATGTTACTTAGGACCTAATATCCGAGCTAATACCAAGCTGAACATTGCATTAGGTCCTAAGTAACATTTAATATCATTCTACACAGCAAAAAAAATGTAATATCGATCAACGTAATTCAAGCTGATGTATGAAATAATGATGTAATAGCAAAAAACAGATACAATATCAGGCATAACATTTGATAACGGCACAAAAGCATTTGTAAACAAACATTCTAAGGCCCTTTACACGCGAACTAAAGTACGCCCACGCAAACCAATACCACTTACAGAAAGGTGATAGTTGCCCCTATGCTATGATGTTGTTGGTTTGCGTGGGCGTACTTTGGTGTAAAGGGCCTAAGAAGGTTTGTTTACAAATGCTTTTGTGCCGTTATAAAATGTTATGCCTGATATTACATCAATGGACGTAATTTAGTTCGCAAAATCGATGTACATCGTACAACGTAATATTACACAACCAGCGGAATGATCTCTGTGCAACTGTTTAGATCAGTGCTAACATTTGAAAACGGCACAAAAGCCATTTGTAAACAAATGGTTTGTGGGCCCTTTACTCACTACTTGAAGTACACCCACGCGACACAACAGCAACATCGGGTAGGGGAAATTTTCCCCTTCCTGACGATGCTGTTGGTTTGCGTGGGCGTTCTTCGGGTAGCGAGTAAAGGGCCCACAAACCATTTGTTTACAAATGGCTTTTGCGCCGTTTTCAAATGTTAGCACTGAGATGTAATATTCAACAACTTTTTTTTCTGTGTACATGCTATTTCAAAACTACCCAAATTTGGATAGAATCCACCCAGATCGGTCAAAAGTGAACCTACCCAAAAATGGGTAAACGGTGTTGGGAGTTACAAGTTGACAAATGAAAAACATCGACATGAATCCGATCGACGTTGTTAATTTGTCAACTTGTAACTCCTAACACAGTTTACCCATTTTTGGGTAGGTTCAGTTTTGACAGATTTGGGTGGATTCTACCCAAATTTGGGAAGTTTTGAAATAGCGTGTAGAGGCTCTATATAGACCTTTTTGACGTTTAATCGTCTTTTTCTATCTTGCGCACATGGATGAATAGACGGTTTGTTTTCCCACTAATCTGTTTCCCTCTTGCTCGCACACGTTCGATTACAATGGTGCAGTAGTGTGTGAAGATTAAACCATGGTTGGTATATAAATGGTGATACAACTTTGTCACTATATAGGCGAGGAGGTCGCGGGGGGGGGGGGGGGGGTAGTGTGGTTTTAGAGCAAATTGTAAACAAACTCGGTTTCTGTCCCATACAAAAATCCATCATGGCTGAATCATGAATTTGACACATTAGAACTAGAAATACTAGAAGGAGAGATGAGCGGAGAGAATGTTTTGAGCCAAATGAACTGTCAAAATCTGAGCCAAACGACCATTCCCATTAGAATTTTTCCGAGGATTTCTTATTCTTACTAGATTACATTTGAGAGTATTGCAATCGAACAGAAATTCAATCACCTTCATGTTTCGTGTGCTTCTCAAATTTAACTAGTTTTTGGAATCAAAACCAATATTCTAACTCTATTGATTAATTGATCTTAGTTGGTTAATTAATGGCACCAAAAAATGTGGAATATATTGCGATGCAATCAATTATTAATTTCCACGTAAATCGAATCAAAAGTAAAAGTCATGTGAAATGCTAAGTTTTAGCAAGGGTTGCAAGATAATTTAGATACAAATCCCTGCTGCCAATTGTATTTTATGGTAAGCGTGATTACCTCTCACCCCAACAGGCCTGGGTTCAATCCCAGTCGGTGCCGCCGGGATGTTCTGAGGCATAACATCTCTGATCACGCCTTCCTTCGGATGGGAAGTAAAGCCGTTGGTCCCCGGTCGATAGGTAGGGTCCAGGTGTGGGAGCTGCCTTCCTGGCACGTCGGTAGCATTGGTGCTCAGCACGGAAAACAAGATCGACGGAAAAAACAAACCAAAGGAAAAAAAAAAAAGAATAATTCTGGAATAAGGGCGAAGGTTGCAAGTGTAAACAAACTGAGGTTAATACATCACGTTATACTACTATTAAAATGCTACAAAACGATACTAAAAAATGTTTGGACAAATAATGTACTTTCTTTAAAAAACGCAAAAAACATAAGGGCGAAACCAACTTTTTTTTTATTACAAATTGAGTTAGCTCTTACGGCCGCTTCCTCCCATATACATAGATGGGGCGAAACAGACATATTTTCTCCATACAAGGCGAAAGATATAATTTGAATCTTTTCACTACTCCTTGCAATTACCGGTTGGTAATCAAAAGAAAACATTGTTAATCTGATCGAAATAAGCGAAAACACCCCAACACATGAATTTATCTAAAATCCAACAAACTGCAATAGGTTGATAGTAACAAACCATCAGGAAAAAGAACGTAAACATTGAGCCGAAACAGACAATGTCAAACACTAGCAGGCGAAACATAGGGGCGAAATAGCTTCTGTGAACGCAGCCGGGCGAATAACCTCAGGGCGATACAAGATACTCTAAATCAAAAATAATAATATTTTTATTTATCTCCCCATAATGCTAACCAATAATGTAATAATTAGGAACAGTTCATTTCTAGGAATGGGTTTATAGTTTAATATATATTTAATAATTTTTGTTCAAAACTTCAGATTCATTTTTCTCACTTCAAGCCCATTGCGACATTGGCCCTAATTCCAGCTCTATCTAGAATTGTATTTTGTTTTCTCCGCCCATCTCTCCCTCTGAGTATTTCTAATTAGAACACCTATATGTAGGCACCTTGGATTAAACGTCAAAAAGCTCTCTAGAGTCAGCACCCTATCCCCTGAGCTATGTCCATTCCCTCACGTCAAAGTGACATTCCTTTCGTCGACTCGAACCGACACTTTCGTCGATGAAAATCTCTTGTTAATCGACTTTTGAATCCGCCGCCATCATTTTGGTACGCGATCCCCTGTTTGTGTGCGTGTGACCGCCTCTATACATGCTACGATATCTACCACCTACCGTACCGTACCTGTACAGTACGGTAGAATCCGTATCATGCAGTCCGTAGTGTGAGTGAAAGCGCAGTGCTTCGAAGAGTGGCGAACCAAGAAAATTGGGACTGAGTTTTCTTCGGCATTTTTCCCATTTTCCTGACGGAAAATCCGACCGAATCGCGTTACATTTGCCGTTTTCATACGTTTGGTGTTGCAAACGAGCAACCGTTCTATTCCGGAGTGCGGAATTCGGCGCAGATCAATCCCAATCGAAATTGCTGACCACGACCGCGACCGCGAAAAAAAAGAGCAGCAGAAGAAAAGTGGTAGTGTGTGTTCGCAAAACCATCCAACAACCATCACCACACATCCCTCATCACAGTCTGGTGGTAGCAGAAGGCAGATCATCGTCGCAGAAAGTAGTGTGAAAAAAGACGAAGAACAGGCGGCGCAGTCCCGGTTTCGTGAAAACACAAAAAGGGGAGCACCAGTCAGTCGGCGGAAGGAAAATCCACGCATTTTTTTTCTACACAGCGGAAAAATCGTCCTAGTTCGATTCGTTTTGCTAATCAACCGCAGAGGTGAGTTTTCCGTGTTTTATTCCGCGGCGAACCGGGAGTGCTTTCCACCGAGGGGAATATTTGTACACACATGATGGATGATGCCATTTTTAACCTAGAATTTTCAACCCTTCTGATGGATAATGCGAGGGGAGTGCGAAAAAATAATATTGGCAACAAAGACGTTTTACGGGAGAGGTGACAGATCGAAAAGTGCCGGAATGGTTCGAAATTGGTGACACGTGTGAAATGGGAGTGCTGTCCTCGTCCGGAGACCGAAGCATCAAGCGTTCAGTGAGACGCTCGATTTTTTTTCTTCCCTACCATAGGAAAATGGGCCTTCGCGGACGCCATAAAGGAGCAGAGCAGAGCACCTAGCCAGCCAGCGAGATCACACTCTTCGACGACGGATGTATGAGACGGGAACGGCAGGCGCGCACACACACACACATACAGAGATGCTCACGGTGGCACTGAGGGAAATTTGAGTCACATTTGGTGGTGTGACGCTGTTTATTTTTTCGTTGGAGAATTTGTTTTGGTGCGATTCTGTATGTAATTTTCTTTCGACGTTTTGTAAGTAACTGTTCATACTTAGGCTCTGAACCATTTGGTGGATTATTTTAACTTTTGGTTAAAATTTGACAGATGGAAAGTTATCGATTGACCCTGCTATCCGAGCTTGGTTACTTCTGACAGACAAGAAGTTAAATTTTGACAACTTTGGCTGAGTTCTTCTCGAAAACCGGTCGATCGACAGCACAGGGATTTTCGAACATAGAAAATAACTTTCGAAATGTCACTTTTAACCACGAGTTAAATTTAACTCGGCAAATGGTTCACAGCCTTAGTAGAGGATTTTTTTTAATATCTTCGATATAACCTGGACAAAATTATTCTCTGGGTGTTTGCAAAAAGTCACATTCGGCACTCACACCAAGCTAAAGACGAATCATTCAGCAGCGGAGAAGCAGGAAAAGAAATGGGTAGATACCTTCTACACACTCTCGTTGTAGGTACAATAAACCATGCGTTTTCCTGTCTGCTGCTGATATTCTTCTCCGGTGCTGCCTTGAAAGTACGCAGCTGTAAACCGGAAACGGGACTCTTTGTTATGATGACTCCCCCGGATTTCGGGCTTCTCCAATGGGTGTCTCAGATGGCCTTGTTTTGGAATGAACCTACGACAAACGCCTACTTGTTGGTTGCCGTGGAATGTTCTTTCTGTTGAATCGATCCACTTATCAGTTCGTTTCTATTCATAGTGGGAGACTTCGTTGACAAGAGTACAAAGCACCTTGTGGAGTAAACAAAAATAAAATAAAATCTTTGGGTGGGGAACAAGAACACAAGAAGGCAAGTTTACGAAACGCCATTTCTGGTTCAAACCAGCAAATGTTTACGATTTTTGAAATTCTCCCTACTACGCATTACCGGTCGGAGGTGTCAGTCGCAGTAATTGCCTGCAGATGAGATAAATAATCGATTCCATTCTAATCGTAACATGCTTTCCTCTCTCGTAGGCTGAAATACAACTGTTGGTAGTTCTTGGGAAATGGTAATGGAAGCACAACCTTCACCGCAAAGCGTTGGCCGCGAGTTCGTGCGCCAGTATTACACCCTGTTGAATAAGGCGCCGGATCACCTGCACCGGTAAGTTTATTGAGCAAATAATTGATCCCATTTTCCTCCTGACTGAATTGCGTATATTTCCGACATTATTAGCTTCTACAACAATTCATCGAGCTTCGTTCATGGCGGTTTGGATACGAAAAATCAGGAAGCCACACTGGTCATCGGTCAGAAGCAGATCCATAACAAGATCCAGCAGTTGAATTTCCGCGATTGCCATGCCAAGATCAGCCAGGTCGATTCGCAGGCTACCCTCGGGAACGGCGTGGTCGTCCAGGTGACCGGTGAGTTGTCCAACGATGGTCAACCGATGCGTCGTTTCACGCAAACCTTCGTACTGGCCGCCCAATCGCCGAAGAAGTATTACGTCCATAATGACATCTTCCGCTATCAGGACATCTACTCGGACGACGAAATCGATGAAAACGATCGTTCCGGTGAGGAGGATGTCGGTGATGGGGACGTCAACAATGTCGTAATCGATCAGCAGTCTGTTCCTGCCAATGTGGTTGTTTCCGGTGGCGGTGCTGCTCCGGCTCTTGGCCAACCGCAGCAGCAGCAGCCCCAACAACAGCAGCAGCAGCAACTGTACTATCCTCCTGGAGTGATGAATACTGCCCCCGCTGGAATCATCCCAACCTACGGACAACCGCAACAGGCTCAACAACCACAGCAGTCGCAGCAACAGCAGCAACAACAACAACAACAGCAACTTAATGGTGTTCATGACGATCTGTTGAAATCCGTTCCCCCTCAAACGGCTACCCAGCTGATGCAACCGTCGGTTGGTGTTGTCCCTCCGCAGAACCCATCGGTCATGCAACAGGTACCCAGCGTTGCAACCGGAATGCCAACGGTCGATCCTATCCAACATCTCTCCCAACAGCAAGTAGTCCAAACCCAGCAGTCAACCCCTCAGCCGCTGCAGCCCCAGCAGATTCCTCAACCAATTCCGCAGCAAATCGTTACACAGCCACAACAGCCCCCACCAACCCCAGTCGCCGATCCGGAACCAATGCAAAGCTCGCTCACCATGAACGAATTGGACTCCGCTCTACCCTCGGTCAACGATCCAACGCCAGCCGAGGCTAGTGATTCACACGACCACCATCATCACCACCACCACGGACATGGCCAATCGGATTTGAACGATCAACAGCAATCCGTTTCGCAGCAGCAACTGTCCAATGAACCGAAAACCTACGCTAACCTGGTAAAATCCGGTGGAACCGGTGGTCCGGGACCCCTGAGCTTCGCTTCCGTGTCATCTCATCATCACCATCAGCAGCAGCCGCAGCAACAGTCGCACCATCAACAAGGCTACAGTAATGTTGCTGCCGGACGTCAATCCGTCATGTCGCCTCCGCCGGCGTCTACGCTGCAAGGCGTAAGCTCTAATAATGGTGGACAGAGCAGCACTGGTGCAGGAGGACTGGGCGTTGGAAGCAAGTACGATCGCAACCAACAGCAACCGTCACAGCAGGATCAGAGTGGAATGGGTGGTCAGGGCCCAATGCCCCAGCGGATGCAGAACCAGCAGCGGCCGATTCGAGGCAATGGTGGTCCATCCAGTGGCGGACAGGGCTCGCTAAGACCGCAGGACAGTCGTCCCAGTTATCAGAGGAGCTACAATAGCGATGGTGAAGGTAAGCATTTCGATATCAAACCATCGAAACAATTTTGATTTTGCTTTTTTTTAGAACGTCGCCAGAGTTCCCAGTTTGGGGACAACCACCAGCTATTCCTGGGAAACATTCCACACCACGCCACCGAAGAGGAGCTGACGGTGCTGTTCTCAAAGTACGGTACGGTCGTGGATCTGCGCATCCACTCGAAACCGGGAGCCAAGCTTCCGGGAATTCGCGCCCCTCCGAACTACGGTTTCATCACATACGAGGATCCGACTTCGGTGCAGAACTGTCTGGCGGATACGGTAAGACGCTTTGTTGAAGTATTTCCAGATTGGATCTTATTTTGAAATTGCATTTTGTAGCCCCTGTTCTTCCCGGATAACTCTCCGGACGGTCAGAAGCTTAATGTGGAGGAAAAGAAGACCCGAATGCGAGGCCCGGGTGAGACGGGTGGTCGCATGGGCGGTAGCAATCTCGGTGGAAACGGAAGCGGTGGACCACGTGGAGGCCCCGGTGGCCCCGGAGGTCAGCAACGTGGAGGCCCTGGTGGCCCACAGGGTAACATGAATCGAGGCGGTTCAGGACAGCGCGGCCTGGGTGGAGTCGGTGCCGGTGGTGGTGGCGGCAGTGGCCGCGGTGGATACCAACGGTCGGACCGAGGCGGCGTGACCGGAGGGGGCCAACGATCAGGAAATGGAAACGTAAGTAGCAACAACTCTTACGGGGGCGGTCCTGGCAGCACCTACGGAGGACGACGTTAGACCACAGAGACAGACAGGCCAACGCGGCTAGTAGAATCCAACATTTAAAGCAAGCATAATATCATTTTACTATCGACTCGAAATCATATTTGCCAATCTCTCTCTCTCTATCTTATTGAACCAAGAAAACAAAATGCATTACACACACATACATACACATTAATAACCTAATCGACCGTAGCAGGAGGGCTATGATCGCTGGTTTTGAATAGTTTTTTTTTCGTTTTCTTTACGCGCGTAGGATGTGATATAGTTCTATTGATAAACAAACAAAACAAGAAAAAAAAACATTAATGAGTAAAATGCAGAGAAAAGGAAAAACAATATGAAATGAAATCATACAACAAAAGAGTTTGTGTTCCCGCTATTCACTTTTTTCTAGTCCTAAAAAGAATAGTAATCGAACAGACAGGTGATGTCTGCAGCAGCAAAACGATGTAACACAAATGGAATAAAAGTACGATTTTCCAAGATCGAAAAAATTTAAATTGTTGTTGTTGACTGAATCATTCTCATTTTAGTTGAGTTTCCCTAAGGTTTCTCTGCGCTTCGCCTCCGCCCCGGTTCGATTCGGTTTGAGATCTTCTGCTAGTGTGTGGTGTGTGACGAAATCAAGTCGATCACGTCGTCTTTTTACTAGGGTTAATAGTTTAGAAGAAGGAGGAACGTGGAGCCAGAACAGGACCGCCACCTTAAGGGGGAATATCTGTTATCAAATTGGATCTATCATTACTTAATACAAGCATGTTAATCGGATGGAGGCTATTCTGAGGGTCAAGCGACACGAATGATGACTACCCAGAATAATACCCACACTGAAAACGAAGCTAACTCAGAGAGTTAGTTAGTTTTACTCAGTTATGAATTGTCACTTTATGGAGAAATTTCTAAAAGCGTAAGTCACTCAGCGCATGAGTTAGCTACGCTTTTAGAAATTTCTCAATATGAATGAGTAAAAGTGACTCACTCTCTGAGTAAGATTCGTTTTCAGTGCATCACCATTCCAATGTGTCGCAGTTTACATTTACAATTACCTACACGGCCTTAGAATCGCACTCTTTTTTGAGTTTCGTTGACTCACTTTCACTAAAACCAGGATGTTGCTGGCAGACCAAATACAAATGCGCTCGAATGTGAGTAAATGTCACTCGTTTTCGAGCAAAATTTGATCGAATAATACTCAAATTCGATTAGATTTTTAATCAGTCTATATGAGTAACCGTACGAGAACGGTTCTCCCGGGAAGCTGACCGGACTGATGTGTGAATTTATCGGGTGCGCTATCGGACTCGTTTGAAACACGCAAAGCACTTCGAAAAGGCGATGGTCATTCCTACCTCCTGTTCATCATTGCCCTGGAAGTTATCATGTAATGTGCGGGCTTTAACTACAGACGGTATAGTAAACACAGACTGCCGAAGACCAATCCAGCGGAGCCAAACGGACAAACGTTTCAATTGTGGAGAGTATTTAAATCACTAAAGCATAATTCCAATAAGCAAAAAAATCAAAGATTTGTATTTTATGTTTTTAGAAGGGTTATAGTAAATGAATAAAAAGATTGCTTTTTAGAATAAACACTTAATTTTGAACTCGATTTTAGCTTGTTTTATGATTAAAAATCATACTCATTCCACATAGTAGACTGACAAGTGAATCCAGTGGAATTTGTTAATTTGGTTCTACATCAACAGACTGGATTTAGTCCTAATGATGGATTAAGCAATGCTAGGAAATACAATATAGTCAAAAAGTAACAAGCTGCAAAGGCCGTGAAGTCCAACTTAATTCCTAATTCTTAAAAAATATATCACGGAATCTCTGACGCAGCGTCTCGCGTGCCAAGTGGAAATCAAATAAGGAAGCAACACGATTGAAAACCTTTTGTAGACCATTGATAGCACCGAAAAAGGTATCCTCAGCATTGCGTTGTTACGGAGTGCTCGAGGTTGAACGATAACGTCGATTTGTTGTAGAATTGCAGGACAATCGATTCTGCCCTGTAGAATGTCTGCCGCAAACAGGGCCCTTGTCGTATCTCTTCGACTCCACAAAGGATCTTGGAAGGCGATGAGGATCCCTCCAAGGCAATCGTCGAAGGGCAAACCAGATGAATCGTCGTTGAAAAGACTCTACTCTTTGTACACTGTTTTGGTAATTAGGATTCCATACAGGGCAGCAGTATTCTAACATCGACCGGACTAGGGAGCAGTAAAGCGACTTCAAACAGTAGATGTCCGTGAAACTTTTAGCTAGAGCTTTTTAGAATTCATTTCACATTGAATGTTATGTGTGGAACGTTAATTGAATCGCTATTTTGGAGAGATTACCTGAATTTCTACGTTAAAATTGTTAGACTCTTGTCATTTCAATCACAACAAAGACAGGATCGTTTTTATATCAGTGCTATATATATTCTCTTGACACTCTTCCTTTCACATACACAAATACAACTCTTACCTAAAGATTCCAAATCGCAAACCGTGGCCCCCTTAGATATCGTTCACACCGATGTGTGCGGCCCGGTGGAAGTCCCTTCGGTGAGCGGATACCGATACTGAAGGAGAAGTCGGAAGTGGCCGACAAGATGGAAGAGTACGTCGCCTATGTGAAGAACCACTTCGGTCGCAGTCCGAAAATTGTGCGATCGGATCAAGGAGGGGAATACTCTAGCAAGCGGCTGCGGTATTTCTACAAACGACAGGGGATTGGTGCCCAGTTTACAGCGGGGTATAGCCCACAGCAGAATGGAGTGGCTGAACGTCGCAACCGCTATCTTGTGGAGATGGTTCGATGTTTGTTGTTTGAGGCTGACCTTCCGCAGTGCTATTGGGCAGAGGCTTTGAGTACAGCGGTGTACCTCCAGAATATTCTCCCGTCAAAATCTGTGAGTGTAACCCCGTACGAGCTGTGGTTCAACGTGAAACCGAACGTGAGTCATCTGCAAGTCTTCGGCAGTACCGCGTGGGTTCACATACCGAAACAAAAACGCAAGAAGCTCAGCGAAACAGCCCAAAAGCTAACGTTTGTGGGCTATTCTGCGGAACAAAAGGCCTACAGGTTCCTAGATCGATCAACGAAGAAAGTCATTGTAAATCGTGATGCAAGATTCATAAATGGAACACCCGTAGCCCGCGGCCCAGAAAACACTTCGAGCAACGAGGAGAGCGACACGGTCGAGTTCGAGTTTCATCAACTGAATCCGCCAGATCCACAGATCGTTGAAGAGGATGCCGATGCAGATGCGATGGAAGATGCCGTTGAAGATTTGATGGAAGAGTCAGACGACAGTTTCCATGGATTCAGCGATGATGATCCTATGCTGGGAGAAGAAGTTGGACAGCCAACGAGAAGTTCCGAGCGTTCGACTAAGGGAAAGCCACCAGTGAGGTACGCTGACATGATGGGTGCCACGACCCACAGCATCGACGATCCCAGAAGTTACAATGAAGCGATAAGTAGCCCCGACAAGTCAGCCTGGCAAGCAGCGATGGAGGAAGAGATGGCTTCTCTCAACGAGCACCAAACGTGGGATCTAGTCCAACTGCCTCCAGGTAAGAAGGCCATCGGATGTAGGTGGACCTTCAAGAAAAAGGAAAACGAAACCGGCCAAACTGTGCGGTATAAGGCGAGGCTCGTTGCGCAAGGGTTCTCGCAACAATACGGCTGTGATTTCGACGAGGTGTTTGCCCCCGTTGTCAGACAGTCAACCCTACGAACGATGCTGACGATTGCAAGCAGAGAAGGTATGCTTGTTAAGCATCTCGATATTAAAACAGCGTACTTGTATGCCGAGCTCAAAGAGGACATATATATGAAGCAGCCACCGGGATTTGCTGCGGACAACGGGCGGGTGTGCCGCCTCAGGCGTAGCATATATGGCCTCAAACAGTCGGCGCGCGTCTGGAATAAGAAAATAGACAGTGTGCTTCAACAGATGCAGTTTCGAGCAGCCGATGCAGACTCTTGCCTATACGTGCGTGTGCGGAACGGAAAGTCAATGTTCATCTTAATCTACGTTGATGATATCGTCGTGTTCTGCCATTCGGAGCGTGAGTTTCAGGAGATCTGCAGTTTACTACAGATGCACTTCAAGCTATCCAGTCTCGGTGAGTTGCGGCAGTTTCTCGGCATCCACGTGGAGAAAGTCAGAGATCACTACACGCTCAGTCAACAAAACTACATCGAGAAGCTCGTTACCAGGTTTTGACATGAGGGTGCGAAGACTTCCAAGATTCCCCTTGACCCGGCTTATGTGAAACAAAAGGAGGAGGAGGTGTTACCTAACAACACTTCCTACTGTAGCTTGGTTGGTAGTTTGTTATACATCGCGGTCAATACTCGTCCGGACATCTGCGTCAGCACATCGCTACTGGGCCGCAAAGTGACCAAGCCAACCAACCGTGATTGGACCGAAGCTAAACGTGTCTTAAGATACCTCAAAGGCACAAAGGATCTGCGGCTGCACCTAGGCAGAGGAAGTGGAGACCTTGAATGTTTCGTTGATGCCGACTGGGCCAGCAACGAAGAAGACAGAAAATCGAACTCTGGTTTTCTCATAAAGTATGGCAGCGAATTGGTGAACTGGGGCACGCGCAAGCAATCTTGCGTTGCGATGTCGTCGACAGAAGCGGAATTCATCGCCTTGGCGGAGGGATGCCAGGAACTTCTGTGGCATCTGAAGCTTTCAAAGGACATCAACGAGGAGCAGCTTCTGCCCATCTCTGTGTGGGAAGACAACCAGTCTTGCATCAAGCTGGTGGAGTCAGACCGCATTGGGAAGCGATCGAAACATATCGATACGAAACACGCATTCGCTAAGGATCTGCAGCAACGTGAAGTCATCGATCTGAAGTACATTCCAACATCCGAAATGGAAGCGGACATGATGACTAAGCCCTTGGAGCGGATCAAGTTAGAGAGACACAGGAACGCGATCG